AAAAAAAAAAAAAAAAAAAAAAAAAAAAAAAAACACATCTTAGTAAAATCAATACCTTCTCAGCTTCGCATCGAAGCTAAAAGTTGGTACGACAAATAAGTAGTACTATTCTAAGCAAAAAAAATCCTCAAAATTATTATTTTTAGAATATATCCATTGATTAACTTTATATCAATCACTCTATATGAAATGATAGCATTTTCACCATGAAACACGATGCATAAACATACTAAATGTTTACATTTAGTAATGACATGTTGGTTATTTCCAGTTTTAACAATAGTATTGTAAGTTTTACTGAAGTAGTTGTCCACCGCTGTGTATTACATATATGACAATCACATTTTGTATTTATCAACAATATTTATTAAATTTTATTACTGTATTTATCAATGAATTATCTAGATCAGTGGTCGGCAACCGGCGGCCCGCATCCGGCCCGCGTGGCTATTGAATACGGCCCGCTTTAAATTCTAAATCGATTAATTTAATTGAATATCATTTTGTATAAATATAATTGAACGTTGCGTTTTTGGTACGGGTATTTTATATAAGTCATATTATTATTTTAAGTTTTAGATAGTATTTTTTTGCATAATAAATAATGTAATTATAAATTTTTTTTTTTTATCTGGCCCGCGAATTCTTTTTAATTTGTAAATGTGGCCCGAGAATTAAAAAAGGTTGCCGACCACTGATCTAGATGATGCTACGACTATTCAAAATAAATCTAAGTTATAATGTTATTATTATACTATTTGTAATATTTGGGTTTGCCATACATATATTTTTTTAATACCGAAGAATATGTACAAACTTTTTTTAAAAATTGTACACGTTGACCTTTTTTTTTTGTCACTTTTATAGGCCTAAGACAATTTTTATATTATAGTTATAATATAACTATAATTATATATATTAAGAGTTATAATTATCAATTAATAAAGATTGTAAATTCACGAACACAATATTAAGAATTGACTATTATATAACAAACATTATGAACGAAAAATGGAATTAATGTGAACAAAAATTTTAAAATATTGCCGATATTTGACTTTCAAAACTTTATTGCTACTTCAAATAAACTTTTCGTATAAGATAAAATGTAATGTTTTAGCTTAACATTTTAACTTGATTTTAATTTTTATTACTTTTATACCCTACAAATTTTATTTCACGTCCGAGTAACTCAAGACATAATTTGATCAATCAGATGAAGAAAATATATAATTAACAAATTATTATAAATATTATTTAATGAATTGGTGGATTGATTAGGCGATTAAGAGTAGACATATAACTTACTGAATAGAAAATTATGTTTTATTTATGTTAACTAATATTTCTGATAAATAAATTGTAGGGAGTATTAGCATATAATTCAGTTAAACTTAAAACTTCTTTGAGATTAATTGTGATTTCGTTATATTGAACGTTTTAGATAATATACGATCTAAGTAAAAACTAGGCAATCAAATCATAAATAGTGAACAATGTAATCAAATACTACAAATTTCGAAGAAATCGAACGCGTTTTTCGATTAAAAATAAACAAATTTGTCACTATCCAATGTAAAATTAACTATTTAACTCAATCTTACAAGTTTTTGTTCATTATAAAATGAACATAAACACAAATCGAAATCAGTCAAAAGTGCATTTTATATTATTGTAAAGCTGTCATTATCAATATCACAGTTATCATATAAGTGATTTTATTATGAGCATTACTATATATTATGCTTTACAATAATTTTTTTCCTTGTTTTATAGTTAATGATAGGTATATTTTGATTTAATCAAGATGTTTTTATATATGTTTTGAAGAAAAATTGAGTCATCATTTTTACTATACTACTAAGTTCTTAAAGATGACACTTTAAATATGTTATACGAATTTTTCTTAACTACGCATTCATAATTTAGAAATCTTTTAAGATTTCTAGTTTATCTATATAAGTTATTAATTCTTAATTAAACACTCATAATCGCTAAGTAAATGACTGTTGTTTTATTTTATATTTGTTCTCATTGTTTATCACTATTGACCTGTTTCCTTACTATTTGCACAGTATGCACTTCTTTCTTGTCAAATACAATTCTTTTTTTGAAAATAACCTAAAAAATATGAACAAAAAAATATATATATAGAATGATTTATTTATTATAAACCACTAAAATAATCGAATAAAATTGATGTATTTTTTTTCGTTTTTATAGGTACATGTTTTCTCAATTTGTCAATCATTAAGTATTTTTTATGTTCATCCCTTAAACCTTAACATGCATAATTAACTAGTTTATTTAATAGATGATGATCTAATTAAGGAAATGACTAATTGATAACAATTTTTTGACCTGTATTTCGGAAGTTATTATCATTTTTATACCTAGGCTATAGACGATAGTATTGAAGATTACTAAAGATAAATGAAGAGATAAAAAAAACCATGTTTGTTTATTCAAATAAAAAACTTTAGCGTCCTTATTTTTATCGTTTTACATGAGCAGAGCCGCAGTACTGCTATTATTTTGTTCCAAAAAGCCATAAACGAGCTCGATGAATTAACACAGAAATTAATATTCATCGAACGAATATCAGACTCTAAGCTCCTGGAAACACAACCTACTGCCATGGGCACTACGGAGTGAGACTGTGGGTATAAGAACAGTAGGTACCCAGCAATTTTAAATAGTTCATCCCTTTTCGCTTCCTACCCTTCGTCGGTTATTGCGATCCATTTAAAACTGAATACTTCTCATCCCATGTTTTACTCAGACAAGGGCGGTAACGGTCGATGTATAATGACTTAGCGGCAAATCTTTTGTTTCTGTGTCGATTGCGAAAAGCAGCATCGATGGGGGAGAGTAGAACTTAAATGGTTTCGAAATCAAGGTTTGAATTTTAATCCAAACATTTGCATAAGGCCGTAGTGATGTAGTTGACTTAAGCTTAGCTAAAAATATTCCTATCAATACAATAATTACAGTCATTCGAATTTGTTGATGGGATTTTACACAATATATTCTTTTTCAACTTAGAAACATGTGAAGATAATAATATAACAATTTTATCTATAAAAGATCTATAGATATAAACTCTCAGATTTATTAATCACATATTCAATATTGAATTGTAATCCTATTAACTTTTTTTGAGTATTCAAATATAACAAAGCCATAAGTAGAATAATTTTTTTTTTAAAGGAATTATATTTTAAATAAAAATATTAACAATTTTTCGGATCACTTTTTTGATAAACCTAAAGATAATTTTCATGTTTGAAGACATAAAAATTGTAACTTTATTTTTAAGTATATTTTGTTCATTATAAAAAAATTAATTTACTCTTAAATAATACTTAAATCTCGAGTTTATTGTATTTTGATTTGGTTTTCATATTTTATGTAATCTTTATATCCACTATCATTGATTAATATGGGTTTCCTACCCTTTCATGGTTAAAATTTGAATACTCATTAAAGTGATAAATGTATCTATAAAATAGAAAAACTTTTGCATCTATGATTTGAATTACAATTTTTGAGGATAATATTAATAGTCAAATAAAAATTTTTCTGGAATTAAAGTTAATAATTTTAAAAAAAGACTAATAAATCTTTAAAATTTAAAAAGATATAAACTTCATTTAAAAGTAAAAGTTCTGACTATTGAAAATATATCTGGTAAAAAGTAAGTTGTTTCACTAAATTTTCATTTTGTTTTAAACATAAATTATTATTTTACAATACAGACATTATTTAACTAACGAACAAATTGAAACATTGAAATTTAACTAACAATAAATTATGTTAATAAGTAATGGCGTAATTTTTTAGATTTATTTTTATATCATAATGGAAAATGCAATACTATCTAAACATAAGTATAAAATCAACAAATTACATTAGTATCATTATATAATATAATAAAAACTTTGTCATAACACCTTCTTCATAGTGTATTCAAACAAAATAAATTTTAATAGTTAAACAAAAATATTACATTTAACAAATTAATGTATTTAAAATATTGACAGTTTAAATAAAAGAAAAATAATTCCACCTCAACAAGTCATAATATACTTTAATACAAGTTCTGTTATTAAAACACAACATTCTTTTTATATAGTTAAGTTAAACAAAAAGAAGTCCATAACATTGAAAAATCATACACTGCAAAAAACATAAAAAGAAGATAAAAATTAATATTTTAAATTTAGACATTAATAAATTAGGAAAATATTACTGTTTTACTTAACTTTTAAAATTATTGAGTAAAATGTGTCATTAATTATAATAAGTAACATATGAAAACTTCATTTTCACGGGCTATCTTTTTTTATGATAAACTGATTGTTTACCTTTGATATAATTGAGTATTAAATGATAATCGGGTGTTAGGGTCTTCTGCAGCATCAAAAATTTCAACAACTGGGACACCTGCGTTATCTTTTGTTATCAAGACAACATCCAATAATTTATCAATAGCCATTTCATACAATGCTCTAGATCTACTTTCAGTAAACTCTTCAGGAGGAAATAAATGAAATCCAACCTTTAAAGCCTATGAAAATAATATTTTTAAATATAAATGGGCTAAATTAACAAAGTAGAATGACTTAAAATATCATTCTACTGATTCAATAAAATATAAAAAAAAACCTACTTGAGGAGGAATTACAGCTAACATGGGATCAAGCAATTCAAGGGGAATAAACTTATCTTGATCAATTAACGAACAATTACCATAATCAATGAAGTAAACATTGAACTAAAATAAATTAAAAATATAAAATAAAGACAAAATATTTATAAATTTACATTTCTTAATAATATTTACTTGATGATCAGAAAATATGAAATCTGAGATTATTGCTCTACTCCAAGTATTTAATTCAATGCATTTGACCAAATATACTTTACTTGGTGATATATTTCTTTTAGAATAAAATTTTTCCAAAGGGCGTGACTCAGAAATTGTGTCAAGTACAGATTCTAATACAAGTAAAGTTTCATTAAAAGGATGTAAATACATATATCCGTCAGCCACAAATGATAAATTAGCTTTACATGGACTATCAAGCTAAGATAATAACAAACATTTATTTTAATTTTTAATAATTAGAAATAAAAAAATATTTTACCTCATTAATTACATTAAGTTGTATGATATCATTCATAAGCATACTATTAACATTGATTTTTCCATTATATAATGTAATTGTAGGTATTTCACTTTCAATATTATCAGGTTTAGCTGTAAATTCATTTCCAAATAATTTAGTTTCAAATAATTTTGTACATACAGGAAAATAAGGCGCAAAAAATAATGAAGTTAGAGCACAGCTGATAGCCTGTAAATTTTAACAAATTTTGTTATCTAATTTAAATTAAATATTCAATAATAATAATTATGTTTAAATATAATACTTGAGATGGAAATTTCAGAAATTTTGGTGGTAAATACATTACATTATCTCTTGGAATACTAAATTCAAGGCCTAAATCAATCAAAATTCCTAATATATTATTATTTTCAATTTTTGTCACTTGATATCTATGCCATTGTTCATCATATTCTACAGCATACACATCATCAACTTCAATACTGTACATTTTTATAAAACTTTTAGACTCTCCAGGCTTATTCATAGTATTGAACATTTCATTATACAGAATCTATAAATTAAATTATATAAAAAGGACAATAAATTGTATAAACTAAAATAATAATTACATTAATTTTATCATGAATGAAACGTATCCAAATTTTTTGACTGCTGTCAATAGTAGTAACTACAACTTGTCTTTCAGTTTTATCCACAAATTTCATCAGTGGTGCGTTACATTCATTAACTGTAGTATCCATTGACTGATCCAAATTATTCTATTTAGTTAAAAAGAATAGATGGTGTCTAATATAACATAATTATTTAAATATTGTATAGTATTGCTATAATAACAAGTGTCAAAAATTTGAGATTAAGGAAAGTTTTGATAAATCAAACTTAACCTATTTCTCACTATCTTAGCAAAATGTCTCATAGTTATGCACCACATTGATTCCAAAATTTCTAAATATTATGCACAGTAAAAAAAATATGATAGGTAATTAAAAAAAATTAATTTTTACATGTAATGAGTAGTATAATATCGCTTTATTTTGTTTAGGCAATTCTTCAATTATTATATCTGTTTTCATATTGCGTAAAGAGTTCAACCAATTTTCAGGTAAACATTCATTATAAACATCTCTGTAAACTTCTACTACTTTATCACAAAATAAACCAGCATAATTTTTTTTTAATTCCTATAAAAACGTATATAAAAATATTAAATAAAAATTGACTATATTACTTAAAACTATAATACCAATTCTAATCTTTCAACAACTAAAGACATATTTTTAGTAGTGGGTATGTTGTTATCATCATATTTCTTTTTTAATAACCCCAACGCATTACGTGCAGCCACCTGTTTTGCAACTTCTGGCAGCGAATACTTTTCTGGAAATGAACTTGCTAGAGAAGTTACACCAAGCTTAAATTTTGAAAGAAAATAAATATTAGACACTTAAAATATATAACTTTTACAGCAATTAAATATTTATTTTTAAATTTTTCAATTACTTATTTATATTCTTGACATGATGTTATATCAGTTACTTTTTTCGTTAAATAAATATTGTAAAAAATATTAATGTTTTTAGTTACACACAGTAAAATTGGGTAGATAGAAATGTATAAATCAATAAAAACAACTGAAAGAGTAGAATCTAGGTTAATCTTTTTTTTTGCTCATCAACTTAATTTATAAAAATGTTCAAAGTACACTCGCAAAAAATCAATGTGAGAGCAAGTCTTGTTTAAATTTTACTATCAGCTTCTGTTCACCTCAAAGTACATTCCTCTATTTAAAATTTTTTGTTATTATTTGGTCTATAATGTATGAACTTTAAGAGTGTGAAATTATATTTTTTTAATAAAATCAAAAATATTTAACTAGTTTTAAAATATGAAAATATTATAATCAAGGAAATTCTATTTCAATAAAAAATTTGAAACGGGTATTTAAAAAATTCTTAATTTTTTATACTTCAACAAAGTAGGAATGCAGCAGAAAATGGTTGGATGATAAAAATAATTATAACCTAAGCCTCAATCCATTCTGTAAGTCAATAACTCACATTTTTAAAATTATTTAAAATGTTGAATGCTGTATATAAAAATCTAGTACTGAAAAATTGGGAGAATCAAACAAATTAAATAATACTCAAATATAACATTTTAAATTTTAATGTTATGAAATTAAAAATAAAACATACTTATAATGCATGGGTACTAAAAATTAATTCATAATTATTATAATAGTTTATTTACATTAATGTTAGCATAATATGCAGGTAAATTGGCTTTTGATTTACATTGAAAGACTGTAAACTCAGCTTCACCGAGGTTTCTTTCTTCCAAATATTTTTGCATCATTTTTATGTAGTCAATCCCATTATATTCTTGCACATTATGATCAATGGTATCTGTCTAAAAATGTATTAATCTTATATTATAATTTTATTCTAAACACATTTAATATTTAAGGTTCAATCAAAACCTAATTATATAAACTCAAATTTTAAATAGTAATTTAAATGATTACTATAACATAAATATTTAATAAATTACATCATTATATTCTATTATAAAATTGGTAAATTATATAAAAATATATATTATATATAAAACTTACAGGATCATGCCGAAAATTATATTTTTTATTTGAGCGACCTTGTTTCAAACTTTTCTTAACATTAACACTGATTAAACTAGTATCATTCATGTTCTGTACCCAACTTTCATTTTCATTTTGTTCTTGATAATCCATCATCTAAATATATAGAAAATTCAATTTATTTATTATATTATAATTAAACTGCTAAATATGGAAAAAATTAACTACCAATGTTTTTATGATTTGTCATAATTGGGCAAAATGTAGTGTCTAAGAAAAATATCTACTCATTATGTAAATTGAACAAAGTTTTATTTTTAGATTCTTAGTTGTAATTTTTTTTATTTTACCATCCCCTAAATAAAATTATGGTTCTTCGTATTTATACAATTATACAAAATTATTTCTGGACTTCAATGAAAAATTAGTATTAATTAGTATTACAAAATTTTGTATTAATGAGCACTGCCTTTTATTCTTTATAATAATAACAATAATGTAAATATTATAAATACATTCATTATGATAACCAATTTAAAAATATATATAACAATAATGTAAATATTATAAATACATTCATTATGATAACCAATTTAAAAATATATATAACAATAATGTAAATATTATAAATACATTCATTATGATAACCAATTTAAAAATATATATAACAATAATGTAAATATTATAAATACATTCATTATGATAACCAATTTAAAAATATATATAACAATAATGTAAATATTATAAATACATTCATTATGATAACCAATTTAAAAATATATATAACAATAATGTAAATATTATAAATACATTCATTATGATAACCAATTTAAAAATATATATAACAATAATGTAAATATTATAAATACATTCATTATGATAACCAATTTAAAAATATATATAACAATAATGTAAATATTATAAATACATTCATTATGATAACCAATTTAAAAATATATATAACAATAATGTAAATATTATAAATACATTCATTATGATAACCAATTTAAAAATATATATAACAATAATGTAAATATTATAAATACATTCATTATGATAACCAATTTAAAAATATATATAACAATAATGTAAATATTATAAATACATTCATTATGATAACCAATTTAAAAATATATATAACAATAATGTAAATATTATAAATACATTCATTATGATAACCAATTTAAATATATATATATTAACAGGAAATAATTTGGTATGAAAAAGTTGTTACTTTTATTTAATTTAAATAATTTATTATAATTTAAATGTTGAAGCATAGATCTTTCATTTTAATTATGAATGTATGAATCAACTAAATAATTATGCAAACATTGCTTTATGAAATAAAATACATTTATCTTAAATAAAGTTGAAAAGTAAAAAATATTATTCATATCAATGTAATATTGGTATTTTAAAGTATTATTAGGACAAAAAATAAAATAAATAAATCTCACGAAATTTTATACTAATAAAAAAGTTGCATAAGTGTTAAGTTAAATTTGGTACAAATTTAACTTTAAAGCAATTATTAACTTTGAATTGAAGAAACCCAGATATCTAATTTTATTTATTTAAATTATCTGTAACTTAAAAGATAAATTTGAAAGTAGCAAACATTATACTTGATGGCAAACTTACGTCCATTTTACGATATTACATATAAAATTATATTAAAAGGAACTTTGAATAATATTATGTGAAAAATATGAATACTATTTTAATGAAATTCACTGGCATACGATTATCATTCTATATTAATAATTACTATAGCTAACCTTATTAATTAATACTTAATTTAAAAATAAAAAAAGATAGCCATTATCACATCGCTAGTTTTGAACTTACCTTAAGAAAATTTTAAGTAAAATTGTTTGTTAAAATAATATGGAAAATATGAGTGTCTTGTGAAACTCAATAAATATCAATTGTTTTAGTTAGGTCAAAGCATAACAAAAAAAATTCAAAAGTCAAAGCAAAAAGAATAGAGAAAAAAATAATTAAAACTCGCGATAAACGACATGAGTTTAGATCTATTAAAAATGTTATAAATGTAATAAAAATAAAAACATCAACGGCCATCTCACATTATCAGTGTAGCCAAATTAAATTATAATAAGCTAACCCTATTTGGACACAACTATAACTAAAAGTTTAATATGTCATATGGACATATGTAATAGGTATTAGAGTAGCCTGTTAATTTTCCTTAAACTAATTCATTCTTTATTTTATTAATCTCTAATTTTTATAATTTATTAACAACTAAGTTATCATTCGTGCATTGTTTATTGCTTAAAACGAAAACGTTATTTTGAGCAAATAGAACATATTAAATTTTGGATGATTGCATTACAATTTTACGTTTTTACTGTAGACATTGTGCATTTAGGTAACAAAGCAGTGTGTAATGGAGGAAATTTGTGTAACTCCTGTAACTCCATATCGAGTTATATGTGTTGTATACAAATATTATCTAAACCTATAAATAATTCTTAAACTAAGAGTTTTTCAAATTTTTGAACATTAAACTTCAGAATATAAAAAAAACGCAATAGACTTTATAAGTATTTGCACAATTTTTTTTATCGAGATTGAATAATAAGTAACTTATAGTATATTTCTTAATAATGTTATACAAAAATATGTTCCACAATGTTATGTTAGTAGGTTTAAATTTTCTTGTTGGTTTAGTAGAATTATACGGAAACTAAAAGTTGAGAAAAACAAAATAGGTTGTACAAAATACCTAGGTGTTCTAATGACTAACTTTTTTAACTTTATGAGGCAAATTAAAAAAATTGACTAAAAGTGTAATAATATCAATTTAGCCCAAACACACAAACAGCTGAAATAGAATTCTAGATTTGTTTAGAAATTCATTAAAAATATAAAAAGTATAAATGAATTGTCTTATTTATTGAAATTAAATAATAAACATGCTTCTGATTTAAAATAATTTGCTAAATTATTTAAATGTTATATTGTAACAGTATATATTAAATTGCGTATAAAATTAGTTGATAATTTTGTTAGAAATAATAGTAATTTTTCTAAATGTAATTTTTCGTTAGCTAAGATTTTTAGTAGCTCAGAAAAGTTAAGTATCCAATATCATATCTAATATCAGGTTTTGATTTGATTCCAATTGTATTTTTATACAACTACGGGTTACGCGTTACCCTATCCAATTTTCAAACTTTTTAATTGGTCTATACAGTTTAAATTATTAGCTAATAATGTAAAAGTATTAGGTATAATATATAATCTGATTTAAGTTTTAAAATACATATTAATACGTTATGTGTAAAGTTCTATGACAACTTAGGTTTTATTCGACGAAATTGTGGTAATTTTAAATTTGTTTATTGTTTAATAGCGCTTTATTTTATTCTAATAAGCTATGGGTTAGAAAATGCATCTATGGTATGGACTCCTAATCATGTAGGCCTTATAGAAAAAATTAAAAAAGTACAAAAGAAATTTCATTATTTGTTGCGTTTAAATCCAATATGTTAGGACAACCTATAATCAACGTAAACGACATTAAAACTTAGTTTCTTTGAAATCAAGACGTTTATATAATGATATATTTAAAATTAAAATTATATTAATTTAAAACTAAATAAAATTTTAATGTAACTTTAATTTTAAATAATATTAGCCACAGTGATAAATTTTTATTATATAATGATGCATGGTATATTTTTAAAATTTTAAGTGGTTTTGTCAATAGTATGGAACTACTCTCTATAGTTACTTTTGTAGTGCCTTGTGTAAATATACAGTATTATAATATTTTTCATGTTAAACATCAAACTGAAAACTATGTTGTCAGTATAAGTATTTGTAATAAGTCATGATCTTGATTTTTTTGATAATTGTCTCAAACTAAAATTGTATATCTAAATGTATAATATTTTTTACTTTAAATACGTGTATTCCCATTTAGACATAGATTAATTTTTCATTGAATGGTAACGTTATTAAGGCTTTATATCGGCATTACAAGTAAATTAGCAATTACAAATATATTTTTATTAAAAAAGTCACCTATATTTTTTTCTTTTCCTGGTGCACTTTAATCTTATACATATTTTATAAGGTTATTACAAAAGTTAAAAATAAAAATATGGTTATATATATATTGAAATAATATAGTCTAAATCTGAAAAAATAAATTCTTATTATTATTGAACAAAAAGATTATATAGGAGTATGGTATACATGTATGTTTTATTCTTAGACGTTTACGTTGAAATAAATTGGTAGTGTAATTTGTGTATGTCAGTATGTGATAAAAACGAAATGGTAATTCTTGTCTGGTGAATAGCATTTTCAAATTAACGGGCCATCCAATTGTATTACAATTCGTAAATGTTAGTTTAAAAAAGAATTTAAGTGGTATGCCATCGTGTAAAAACTTAATGATACCAACGACAAATCACGTGTTCTTTAACAGTTTGTCCTTACAATGTTTTCATTATTCTTATTGTGTNAATTCGTAAATGTTAGTTTAAAAAAGAATTTAAGTGGTATGCCATCGTGTAAAAACTTAATGATACCAACGACAAATCACGTTTTCTTTAACAGTTTGTCCTTACAATGTTTTCATTATTCTTATTGTGTTTTTTTTTAGTTTGTAACCAATTTTCACGAGGTGTCTATTCTATGTTGGGTAGTGTTAGTCCTGAATCATTTGATACACTACATTCGTACAGCAATACGTTCCAGATGCCGTTTGTGACACCTTGGTTCCCAGAACAAGTATGAAATTTAAATTATATATATTTTTATTGACTAATATTTAGTAAATTTTGTGATGTTTTCGAATAATCCTTGTATGGTCAAGAAATTTACTGTAAAAAAATTGTTAAAATAAATGAAGTAATAATCAAATAATCACAATATTTTAGAATTAATAAAGTTTTATACTTAAAATACAACAAATTTGTCCTAATTATAATTAAATAAATGTATTTGCATTCAAAAAGTACTTTAAAAGATTTATTTTGAATCACGATTTTATTAACAAAATAATAACAAGTTATGCTATGTTATGGTTATGCTAAGTATATAAAGCATATAACACGGGGGTGGTGTGGTCAAGTCGGTAACGCGGCAGTGCTTGACGAGTACTGCCTCGGGTTCGTAATTCGATCATGGGCGGCTACATATGCCTGGCGAGAAACACAGTCCGGTAATTAGAGCCGCCATCCCCCCTCTCTTTGGCGACTGATTAACCATCCGTCCAAGAGTATCAAAGGTTAGGAAAACCTCTCTTTTTAAGTTAGTTTTGGGGAGTTCGCCATGGACCTAATAAACCTAAAAAAAAGTATTTAAATACTATTTAACAAAAAATGTCCACTTGCCTAACTTGCAAGTTAAAATTTTCTTTAGTTATATTACCATTTAATAATTTCAAATAATTATTTGAAAAGAAATAGCGAATATATATGTCTTATGAAATTAATTATAAGTATTTTTAATTATTGCTATATTAATTTAAGGTTCTTTTACCATCATCAGGAATGTTGGATTATGCTGTCAGTTTAAGACCAGATTATCACCAAGCTATACTTGATACAGTTCGATATTATGGTTGGACAAGTGTTATATATATATACGATTCTCATGACGGTAATTAAAATATTTAAATTCTTTGTAGAAGTTTTATACGGTTAGTTAAGGGTTATTACTGACTTTTCCAACAGCAAGTAATAAGGGTAGCTAGTCGAAAAGACTAAATCTAATCTAGTCTAAAGAATAAATCCTAAAAAAGAATCGTTTTTATCAGAAAAATTGCTCTTCTATTAAACGAAGCTGTTTGTGTCAAAATGTGAAACAGAAATGGTTTTAAACTATGTTAAAAGTATATTCTTTATTATTAGTCTCTAATAAGAAAAAAATAAAACGATTTTTCCCAACATTTCAAATTGGTAATTTTTTATACAAAAGCTATGTTAAAATAAGTACTTATTGAGCTATAAACATTTTGATAAAGTGGGCATAGCTCTACTGGTGTATTTGCATCCCACCCACGCTGCATACATCCTGTACCCATTCTATCTACTCATTTTCATACTAAAATTCTCATACTCAATAACTTATCCTAAACTTGTTATGGATCTTTCGAAATTTTATGTAAGAAAGGGATAAAAAGGTTTGGCTCAAAGCTTGAAAACATACATATAAAAGTAGAAATTATTCCACTTACCCATTGAAAATGTACCAACAAATTTGCGTTCATGAAATACATATTTGATACCAGTTTATATAACGATGGATTAGTACATTAAATAGTTAAGTAGTTCTTTAACGAATTGAGGTAATTGTGTAATTGTATTAACCTTAACGTAAAATGTATTGTGTATAAATTTGGAATAAAAAAAAAACACAATATTTGAGACGTTAAATTGCATTTAATAGTGATAATGCACAAGAGATGTTAGAAAAAAATGTAAATTACTTTTCTTAAAAAAGGCAAAAATAAATTTAACTCTTTTTTTTTCACTATTATCGATAATTTACTAAGAAATTTAAAAAAATGTATCCCAGCGACTTGTATTCTATGAGTAAATAATCACCGGAGTTAACAAATGAAGCTATTTTTGTGTAAACAAATCGCTATTTGTCGTGTTGTTATTATTTTATACATCAATTATTTATTCAATAATTAGTATTTACACTTTAAGCCAAACAGTAATGTCATAAAAATGACGGATAGTACCCCCCAATGTTAAAAACTCATCTCTTTCAAAAAAAAAAAAAAAAATTATAATATTAAGATTTAGATGTTGTTAAAGATAAATATTTTTACAGTGATTTTTGCTGATATAAGTGTCCATCTAATAAGCATAATAAATGGTACATTAGGGATCTCTCCCACTTCTGAAAAAACATCATCTAACTATCATTAACATTTGATAAATTACAATATCAGTTTTTAATTAATTAAGTAAAATTATAACTAGTTAACGATTGTGAAAATAATCAAACTTTTTTTAATCACAATCTCGTCGAAGCATCTATCGTTATTTTTAAGACTTAAAATATTTAAAAAAAAATAATTCAAATTTTTTCATCGCTTTTCTTAATTTAACTTGACAAGGTTAGTTTAATTCAAACATATTTATTTATATTTTCTTTAGTAAAAATAAATTACAGCAATTTTGTATATATTATTATTTTTTTATTCATATTCATTTTTTTTCTGTATTTTATATACTTAGATATAAACGTAAAAGATCTTTTAACAATTTTCATAAAATGGGTTTGGTTTTTCTAGTTTTTATAAAAAATTATGATGACATTTTCGCTAGTATATATAATTAATTTTACAAAACATTCTAAATAAATATCATTTTTTTTTTCAAATTCCAGCATTATTGTGGGCTACCCTAGAACTGCCGTTAGGTATTACTTCAGTGCGACCATTGAACCAGATAACTGCCATAAAGTACATTAATTAACAGTACGCTAATTTGTATATTGACACCAAAAGCAGACGAATTTAAGAAGGCTTTATTGAATATTTATAATATTCTGTATATTTTAAATAATATTTTATATATTATATATTACATCATACATTATATATTTTTACAATAATATTAATTTATACTTAATCAAGAGCAAATAAAAATATCTTATAGTTTATTTTTTAAATGTCTGTTATAAATGATTCCATACAACATTGTAGTGAAGCATTTTTAAGAAACTACTCGATCCAAGTTTCTTTCCTAGGCATATACTTATGTTACCTCCGTTGGAAATTTGTATGAATTCTTTATTATAATAATTTTGATTCCACTTTACAATTTAAATAGTTTTTATAGAAATTCTGTTCATTTTATTTAAATGTCTTCGACATTTAGTTTTATGTGTCGGATATTGTCATGCGATTTAAAAATTGTACTTAGTGAGCGAGTACTTTTATTACTGGTTCATTTAATACTGAATGGTACGAATGAATGAAATGAACTGAATTCTTTTTACTATTGGATATTTTTATTTTAAGTTTTAAAATGTTTTATTTTTGTTTTTATTTTATTTTAACATTTTTCATTACAGGGATAAAAAAAAAGTATTCATCGTATAGAATTCTTATACTTCACTATTATTAGTTTTAATCGACATTTAAAAAAATAAATATTCTATTTTCATTTTTTTCTAGTTCTATGTCTTTTGAAATATATTAACTTAAACGTATCAGATGCATATAAAACTTTACACCTTCTAATAATGTTTTTACTTCTCCAGTTATTTTAAATGTATTTTTCTGGAATAAATACTGTTTCTATAGGTACGAAAAAGGCATAAAGCTCAGTTATGCTAGATTTAAATTTAGCAATTTTCTTTTATTAAGCTTAAAAAGTAATAATATTCAATCTTCTAAGTTCTAGAAAGTTTCGCTGTTATTATCGAAAAGTTCTGGCTTAATCTGTCGAAGGATACTTGATAAATTTAAATAAATATAAGCGATAAACGACACAGAAAACTTTTTGCGAACACCTGTCAGAGAGCACTAGTTTTTCAGCTAAACGTGATAAGTTGCTATTGCTATGCGTAAAAGGTGTAGAAAAGTAAAATCGGCTAAAGATAAATTGACGTACGGATGACGCCGGCATTTTTGGACTTAACGTTTCAGTAAAATAATTTAATGTTATACACTTCCGACGCATTCCAATTATTCAAAAACCCTCCTAATTCTCAAAGGAAACGAAATAACATTCGTATGCTAAGACTTATAAACGTTAACTCGGTGTAAGCAAAGTCAGTTAAACGGACAACTCGAATTTAATTTTAACTGAATGTTCTATGAAACCTCGTAACTATACAACTGTTTTGTTTGTACATAATATGTCTAACGGTTTCTTAAACCTTAACACAAATATTTTCCTATTTTCAGCTTGAAATGTAAAACACCACATTTTTAAAAGGCGGTTTTTTGCTATTGTAACAATTTCTTTTTTTGAATGTTCTTGTTCATTTTTTTAGATTTTCTTAAACTTTAGGAATTAAAAATCAATTAAAACAGAAGCATTAAAAAATAATATATAAATAAAAAATGTTGAGACAAAAGCGATTTTTACAAAAAAAAAAAGTATTTAAAGAAAACAAAACAAAAGAGCTTCTTTGTTAATGTAAAAAGTACTTAATAATGAATAGAGTTCTTTTATCGTAATAATCATTTACTATCAAATACATTTGTTAAACCCTATAAAAAGAAGCATTTTAAATTTGGTATTGTCTTTATGATGTATATATTATTTGAACATGTAATTTACATATTCATTTCAAGTATACAAGGTTTTTATATTACTGTATTATAGGGTACCATTTAATTTATTAATTTTTAATAAATAAAATATAAACTTATATAGACAAATCTAATTATTTGTTCTATTATTTCTTGCTATGGAAATTGCTACCTGAAGCATTAATTTTGAATAAAATGAAAAAACAATGTTGAAACTTTCTTTGTATTTTATCATTAAGAAGTGATACTATACTTGAACGTGTGTTTGTTTTGATTGAAGAATCATTATCGTTTTAAAATGAAAAAAAGTTATGAAAATTATCTCGACAAATGTGGATTATCCGATATAATGTGTATGTATGTATAATACAATATGTATTATATAATGTGTATTATTATAAATAATCCGTAATTTCAAATATACAACTGTAATGAACAAAGTTGAAAAATGTTAGATTAAATTTACTTAATGTCGATTTGTATACAAATTGTTAATATTTATATGCGAAAAAAATATAACTTTTAATAATATCATAAATAAATTATGATTTAATTAATTTGAATAGTTGAGCAAATTCCAGTCATGCATATTTTATTTATAAATATATTGAATTTTATTACAGTGCACTATGTTTAATATGATTGTTATTATAGTGTACTTACTTTTAAAAAGGGCTGTATAGTAATATAAACGTACATTTTATTGTTTTAGGTCTTTTACGACTGCAACAGCTTTATGATGCTTTGGATCTTGAACCTGAAAGTCTTAAAGTCGAGATGGTGAAACGAATACAAAACGTATCAGATGCATTAAATTTTATACACCACATCGAGAAAGCTAATAGGTAAGAGGAAAACAAAAGTGTAAAAGATTTTTATACAATATTATAAGTTATATTATGCATAAAATAAAGCCTAATTTTACAATTTGACTGTAAATAATTAATTTTTGAGGTTTAGGTTAAAAACTAAATAAGGTAATGCCAAATTTTTTTTTCCCAAAATTAGGAATATTGTAAAGCAAATTTGGATTAAAAAGGTTTTGGATAAGTTAGCGTTAATTATAGTTACTATTTTGCGTTTATTCAATTTTAAATTGTATTTAAATGAATTTACAATGTAAATTTTACACGTATAAATACTTTTGGTCGATTGAACACTACTACAGTATATTGATTTTACAGGGATATTTTTTTTATACTAAATCAACCTTCTAGAATTTGACCCATTTCACCAGACAAGTGTAGCGTATTTAGTGCATTACAAAAAATAAATGTTTCAAGACTTAAATATATCAAAGTATACATAAAAATTTTTCATCGGTCTTTTTCCTTTACTAAATCTTTATCCTGTCTTTTTTTATGTTTTTTTTTATTGATTAATTTATTTTTATTTTATATTATGATTTATAAAATTATAATATGGTTTATAATACTATTGCAAACACTTATTTAAAGATTGTCTCTAATCATAAAATATTTAAAAACAAAATCATGCCTAATAGATTAGTAGTTATAAATACTAGAGACCAGCTCGAGCCTAAAATATATGTTTTAAATCTATTCGAACTATTTTTTAGAAGCTCAATCCGAACCAACCCGAATATTTAAATAAAATTTTAGGCCCGATCCAATCCATTCAAAAAAATACTATTATTCTAAAAACATTATATATATTTTTACTATTTCGAACGCTGCAGGTATACATTTAAGAGTTTGCTGTTTCAAAGTGAAATTATCTGATATAGATTGAATGACTGATATTTTAGTTTATTTATCTTAATCCAGAGACAATGAACACCATTATCTTTTTTAATAATCTATTTTACAGCCCAACCCGACTTATGGACCGGGCTAAATTCGGATCGAATCTAGCTCGGCCTTAACTGATCATTTCTCAAGACAATGACAAACAATGTAGTTTTAGACCAAAAACTAAAATATCGGCTATTTAGACAATATTGACTATCTATTCGCATCTATTGGATACTAATAGATAGTTAACGAAAAACAAAAAATTAGAAAATGTATTTCTATTAATAGAATTATCCGTTAAATAAAATAATAATATTAATATTAAATTGGTTACATTTAATAGGTAAATATGACTTTATGTTTTAGGTGGGGTCCGAAGAGAATTATTCTCGATTGTCCAACTTATTTGGCCAAGCAAATAGTCATATCTCATGTAAAAAACATTCAACTTGGAAAAAGAACATACCACTATTTACTCAGTGGATTGGTAAATTTATTTTTAAATATTTATTGCAATAAATTATTTTTAGTATAAAATATTTAATAGTTTTTGAAATACCAAATGCAACAAAATTTAAAGTAGGACTTTAAAAATGTTTTTTTAAATGTACTCAAAGGTATCTTAATGTAAGTTTTAGAGATGAAAAGAAAGTCTCAATGAACTTAGTTGTAAACACTAACTATTACTTACCTTTAATTAACTTTGAATTTCTATTTAAATACCTTCTTAACATTTATATATAAATATATATATATAAATATTTAGGTTTTATTCAGGGTATTGAAATATTGATTTTCTTTGTGTCTATAAATATTTTTATGTCATTAAACATAAAGTTGTCATTTGTGTTCTTTAAAAGTTAGACAATTGAAAAAGATGGACAGTGTGACCGAGTCAGTAACGCGGCAGTGCTTAATGCGCACACTATCTCGGATTTGAACTCGGTCATGGGCGGCTTCATTTGCCGAGCTAGAGATCAGTTCGGTAATTGGAGTCGCCATCCTTCTCTTTGGTGACGAGCTAATCACCCGTCCGGAGTATTAATGGTTAAGAAACTTCCTCCTTTGGCGGAGGCCCTTCTTGGGCTTAAAAAAGCGAAAAAAAAAAACAATTGTAAAATGTATTTAAAGATTGTAAAAAAATAATTAGCATTCAATATTTTTTAGATAATGGATGATCATTGGGAAACAGAAGTTATAGAATATGGTGCTATTAATATTACTGGATTTCGAGTATTAGATGTAAATGAACGATATGTAAAGCATTTTTTGTCAGAATGGAAAAAACTTGATCCAAGTGAATCACGAGGTGCTGGAAAAGATACAATTTCTGTGAGTAATTTAATAACAATCGTTTGAAAATACCTTAACATTAATGTTATAATAAGTTTTAATTTTCGAAGTCTTATTAAACAAACACAAATCAAATTCACGTAGCAAGTTATCAATTAATTATTTCACTGTTTACTCTTATTAACTTAAAATTTACAAACTGTCCACATGAATGTTACACATTTTCAATTTGTAACATTCTATTCAATCTAAAATTTGATTATTATTTTTATTTTAAATAATATTAGCCACAAGTGTTAATTTTTTTTTTACTTAATTAGGCAATAAAATAATTTTTCTAGTTTAGTACAGAGTTATTTGAACTACATTTAAACTAATAACGATATACTAAAATAATACTGTGGGATCCTTAAGAACAAAGTTGTTTTGCCTCAGGACACCTATAGCCAAATCCGGTATTTTAATAATTAAAATTAAAAAAATTAGATAATTTAAATTAAACACGTACGAATAAAATATCCATTTACATGTAAAAATATGAGGTAAGATTAATCTGATAAGCAAAACTCTTAAAAAAATATTAATTGAAATTCTTTAAATAATACAACATTTTTTAAATTATAATAACTATATATAATTATTATTACCTTATATATTTTCTAAGTTTTTTAATTATTATTATTATTATATCTGAACCAAATGCGTAAAACAAAACTTTAATCGTCAATTTTTATTTGATACTTAAAATTATTAAAAATTGTTGTTACATGTTTTTGCTCATACATTTGTATAAAACACAATATTTTTTTTGTTTCACTTTAATAAATTATGAAAAGTTAGTGAAATAAAAACTTTTCTGCAAAATGAATATTTAGTATTATTGCATTTAAACTTTTTTAATTCTTCAACCTACATTGTCATCACTCTTTAGTTTTTAAGAGTTGTAGTTGTTTTTATTTTTGAATAAATATTTTGAAATACAATGATTGTATTATGTATAAACATAATTATTATGTTTAAAGTAAAATAATTTCCCTTAGGAAATTGAATAAGAATTTTTTTTTTCGAAGCGCAATTTTTTCAAAGTGTATTATCTTTTTTATAAATTTCATCCGCGGAACAAATAGATGGAAGAAGCAGAGTGGTGCAAAAATATGAGTGTAATTATTTTTCGTATAAATCAAGAAGGAAAATTTTCCTCAGTGACGTAATTAATTAATTAAAAAATATGAATTATCCCTTTTGATTATCAGGACCTACAATTTAATAATTAATTTTTACCATTTGGGAATATATTTATTTAAGTTTTCTATGACTACTGTTTTATTGGACGTAGCTTTACGATTTCAATTTAAATGACCCGCTAGAAGTACATACATATATTTTTCGTTTTACCATTCTCTTCTTAACCACAACGTTGTACGAAAATGTTCCTCTATCAATCATGAGCCAAAGCCTCACTGACAAACATGATCGCTCAACCATTTCATCCATGAACAACAACAAATCAATCACACTCAAAAATATCCCTGCATTGTCCACGTTCATAAACCTTCCATATATGTGTATATCTCCTTTTTTGTCTACTACAGTACAGGGTTTAGGTCCCTGGTTAATTTTTTGCCCATTTGTCATGATCCGCGCATCGGATTGTCGTCAACTGACGTATTGCTAGCGTTTCCACACATATTTATATAAACACACACACCTCATATTTGTAACGTGAAATCCTTGTAGTGGACCACCTATAAATACGCGTAGTGCGCTATACCAGAGCTTTACTCTAATGATGGATCGAATTAAATTTTTCTATATTTTATACTTGGAACAGGCCCAGGCTGCATTAATGCATGACGCCGTGTTAGTATTGGTTGAAACTTTCAACAAGCTACTGTGGAAGAAACCAGAAACATTTAAGTTGACGACCAAAAGGACGTTGATTAACGGCAATTCTACTTCGTCTAGTTTTTCACCCTCCCAAGTATTGGGATTAGACTGTAATGCTGGTCATGGTTGGGTCAATCCTTGGGAACACGGCGAAAAAATATCACGATATCTTAGAAAGGTAAGCCATTTGTTACAATTTTAAATTTCAATTTCTGACTTCATTCAACAAAAAATAATATGTTTAATCGAATGTTTTAAAGAATACATATTTTGTAAGCCAAAGAAGTCTCTGTTTGATATAAGGACGTTGTAGTTGAGATTGGGAAAATTTGAATTTTTTTTTAATATTATAATAAATTTAAAGAGCTTTAATTCTATAAAAGTTGTTAGACGTTCTGGAAAATTTTTGAACATTGAGTCGAATTAAATTTTTTTACATTCCTAGGTCACTTTTAAATCCTTCCTGTACGTAAGTCTTACATTGAATTTGCACAAAATGCATACCAAAAGAAAAAATATTGCCTTTAGTTTACTGTATTAATATGTGTTAATTAAGTTGTGTGATTATAAAAAAAGTTATAGTTGTTTTAAAATGAAGACAATTTTTTTGAAAATGACATTTTTAGTAATATCCTAATTTTTTTAAAATTTTTAAAATTATGGGTTTTTTTTTTTTAATTTTTGACTCTGCTTAGTTTAATTAGATTTAAATCGGGTTCTTTTAATGTAAATTTATTACAAGAGGGTGAACTTACAATTAGATAGAATCCCGTTTTATCTCATTATTCAACATAGATAAACACATTATTGGTCATAGTGGAAATTGGCTACCGAAAATACATTCACCATACTTTTCTTATTTAATCACTTTCTTATTTAAAAAATTTCCTGATACAAATTAAGAGGAGTTATAGTTATCCCTATAAATAATTTTGAAGTAAAATAAAAGATAAATTTCTAGTCTTTTTTTCTATCAAAAGCATTTCTTTATTGCGACTTAAATGAAAAACTTCAATGATATGTTTGATTATTTTAACTATTTTAATTAAAATTATTTTTATGTAAGTAATCAAAAACTAATTTGTGCATTCAAGGTATAAAATAAAAAATAATCTTGTTTAGTGTTCGCAATGAAAACAAAAAAATATTAAAAACTGAACATAAAATAGCTTTTGTAAAAAGTACTTTGCAAGTACGTTCTAACTTAATTACAAAATTTTTCTTTGTACTATTTTCTTAGATCATCATTACTTGTATTATATATATATATTTATAGAGAGAGAGAGAGTGAGAGTGAGTTTTATGAAAGGTAGTTTTCATCCAAAGTGGTATAAATGCGCATGAACATCTCATTGTATAATAACATTAGCGATATAATCCCTCTTTTTTTTTGCTTTCTTTCTTCGTCAACTTTTGTGTGTGCTCTGATATGTTTTTGGCTAGTTGTGTTGAGTTTTTAATTTCATCCCTTAAGTGAAATTAGTGAGCCTTAGATGAGATTCACCTATTGCCAGCACTAAGCTTAGGTCGTCTGCACACGTTCAATCTTCATTTTCTCTAACACTGCCGCATTGTCGACTTAAAGGCAAAAGCAGTGGAAGGTTTTCGCGGTAGACCAGCGTGGTGGTAAGTTGTCGTCTTGATGCTCAGTGCATCTGTCTTTGTCACCTTTTATTATCTTCTTTGAGCTACCACCTACACCACCAACCTTTGAGGTAAAAAGATCGCCTATCCTCTCTAATAAGATTTAACGTATAGTGCATCATAGCAATATGTAGCTGAGGCTTACGACACTGATAATAAACGACGGGACATTATCCCAGAAGACGGCACAAGAAGTTTGATGACGGAGATGTGAATAAATCTGTCGGCCTCGCCGGTCGTTCTATTTCGTTCAAAAACTATACTTCTAAGATTTTTTTTAATAGTCCAAATTTAACAGCCACCAAGTTAACGTTGGTGGGTAACGAAAATATAATGATATGGTTTTTATTTTTATAGGAATTCGTTAAAATAATAATTCTTCTAATTTTCTTGCTATTCAACTTACGTTTTAAACAAAATTCATATAAATGTTTCAGGGGTATATGATTATTCATAAGAAATATCAAATTGTTTTTTCCTTAGTGATTATTTTTATTTTACAACGAATATGTTCTACTAAAATGATAGTAATACAATGATTAGAAATAATGTTGATTGGTGTTATTTATTTCTATGAAGAGAGATGAGAAAAATACTTAGTATTATGTTGAATTTGAGCAATAAATTATCTTACTTATACAAACATTGAATTAATGACATTAATTATGGAGTAATATTACTCCATAATTCCTTTGCTGAAGATCAATAGTAAATTAGTAGAATAAATAAAAATTGTATAATGTTGTTTACCTTATTGGCTTTAGTTTTAATGTTATCTGTAAGGAAAACTAGATAATTTTTTACGTGTGGGAAAAAAGAACAAATTTATCAGATTATTAGTGTGGAAAAATAACCGTGACCCGGAAGTATGAACATGTTTTCCTGTATGGCTTTCAACTATCATCACGATAAGTCACGTCTATACCATAAGTAGTCCCTAGAGAGGGTTCTTTTTCTAGAAAATCAGTTTTGAGACTAAACTTAAATTAATGACTTAAGCTAATTTAAAAAAATAGGTTTTCGTGCGCAATATATTTATATTAACTGTCAGTATTTTTCAGAAATTCACCGGTAATATTTTAAATCATTGTATATTTCTTAATATTTTAATAAAATAAAAAATGCAATTAAATCAGAATTATTTTTGAATACTATATAAAATAGTCTTCTTCTTTTTCCTTGCCTTTATTCCAACTACTTGGGGTCGATCCTAAACTTTCACTTGACACGATCTCCCAAATCATCTACTCATACATCATCTGTCCTCAGATTACGTTCAATAACACCCCTTCATCCCATTTTAGCTCTTCCACTACCTCTTTATTCTTCAATTTTCATTTCCATAATTGTTCTCAGAGCTTCTGATTCCTCACCTCTTATAAATAATCATCATGTGAAATAATAGTTGACAATTTTTAAAAATGTATGTGTATTTTAAAAGTAGCATATGTTTCTATTGAAATTTAGCCTTAATATGCTAGTACTGAGCTAATAATAAAATCCTAGTTAAAATTATATGGAAAAAATTACCATAAGAGCAACAGGTTACAAGTAGTATTAATGGGTTTTGTTATTATTTTTATAACTTATATTTAACACGAGGAAATTCCTTAGTAAATTTTTAAAAACTAATATTGATTTTTCACATAATATAAGTATTTTTACTGTACATTGTATTCTATTTTTTAAATTACACCAATAAAATTCAGTGTAATGTAGATAATCTGAATTTTTCAAGATTCCTATTCTTTGAGATCGTTAAATAAATCAATCACCATGCCAGTATTTTACTCACAACAGTCTAGGCAAGTCACGTATTTTATCAGTACTACGTATACTACTATTTTGTTAAATGAATTGAAACACCGTTAAAAACCTTCCCAAAAGATTTGTTTTTTTGCCGGATTATTAATTGAATCGAAAAAACCCAATGGGTATCCTCTTCCATTGCCATAATATCGTCGATTAAATAACAGTCACCATTTTTCATTGAATATATTTTTTTACACCTCTGTGCTATTAATTATTTTTTAAATCGACAAAGCACATTTATTACACACACAAAGCCATGTCTACTGTAATCCTACGAATCCGGCTATTAATTAAAATTTTTTTTTATAGGTGGCAATAGAAGGATTAACCGGACCTATAATGTTTAACGACGATGGAAAACGTTACAATTACACATTACATGTGGTACAAATGACAATAGATAGCACAATAACAAAAGTAAGATACCTTAAGAAAAAAAGTTAATTCTTTTATATATCAGTTATCTTTGCTATTAAATATTATCTATTTAATTTATGGAGTAAATAAATTCTTACGAGATATATTTAAATGTTAATTATGCTAGTTTTGTGGAATAAAACTTTAAATGAGGCAATATTATTACATTAAAATAACAGTATGTTATTCAACTTTTCTTAAATGTATTTTTTTAGTATATATTATTCAAAAATTTTAATTAATAAAATCATTTTTGTTAGAATTTCTAATAAATACCCCGACGTAATCAACTTATGTGCCATGATGTGTTTTTTGTATACAAACATATTGTTTTGTAATTTACTAAAACAAAAATAGATTTTGAACAATTTTAAATTAAGAAAAGCAATAATTTCTCTGTTTAAGCTTCTAACAATTAAAAAATGTTGATATATTTAAAAAAAAGTTTAGTCATTTTGTGACTTATACACAACGATTTGTAAAATAAATAACATTAATTGATTTGATAATAACCTTTAAGTGTGATGTACATGATTAATTATTGACATTTCAGATAGCAGAATGGTCAGATACAGATGGTTTTAAAACTGTCATTAGTAAACCGGAGAGGGTCCAAACATTGGGTCACCCACATAAAAGCAATGCCACATTGATCGTGTTGACTATAGCGGTACGTGCACATTAACATAGAATAGATGTACCATTCTATAGTTTTATGTTAATTAAATTTAACTGAAAATACTCAGTTATTAAGGCAATTTTATCAATGATAATCGTGCGATATTTTAGAAATTGTAGTAGTATGTATCGTTGATTAAAATTCATACTGATGGATTCAATAAATATTTCTTAGTATGCATCTACGATTAAAAAAAATAAAAACTTGAATTAATAATGTTGAAATAATTTGTCTAAGTATGAAGATCTTTATTTTATCCAACATAAAACGATTGAGAGAGAAAATATTCTTTAAAAATATTAAATATACCACGTCAGTCATCTATTTAATTGAAATACAACTTTTGTAGAAACTTTCGACATTATCAATTTATGATTATAGATTAATATGAAAAGTAAGACAAAAAAATAAATTATGTAAATGTTATTGGAAAACTAGCGCTAAAAACACTTTATATATTGACGGTGTAATTGAATCTGATAGAAATCTGAAATAATTATTTTTTTTTGTAGCTTAATATAATTTTCTTTGTTACGCCTTAAAAAACGGGAATCATAAGAATTTTAATAAATCGATAATCAGTGGCGCCGTCAGGTGTCGTAACTGGTTATTTGAGAAATAGTAAAGCAATACTGAAAAGAGGGTGAAACTGATATTGTCAGTCTGATAATATCAATAATTTCTATAAAATAAGTATTATACAAATTTTAAGGATAATTAAAAAACTTAAAGGAAACTTGGTTTATAAATGAAATGTAATGTATAACTATGTATAAGTATAAGTGTAAATAGTGACCTCTCCCTAGACGTCATTCACTATTGACACAATTCAAATAAAACTACAGGTCACATTCATATGTTTTATCTTATCTACAAATAACGGAATTGGTGACTTACGATAACGAACTAAGATTAGATTATCCAAATCAATTGCCATCAGTCAGTAAAAATGTTTATTAATTTACTTAGAAATTTAGTTATCTGCTTTCTCAAATGTTATAGTAAAAGGGGGAGAAGGAGAGTTGATCTCCCTCTATAACAAAAATTATTTCTGTGTTACTATATAAACCCTTAACTTAAATGGGTGTTAACTTAATTTTTTTAAATGGTAACATACATATTTAATTAACTTGCAAAATAGAAAATTATCTTAACAAGAAAATGATTAGTTGATAACAACTTTTTGACCTGAATTTCAGAATTTATTAACAATTTAAAGTAATGACTGGAAGTAAAAGTGTTGCTATTTTTATCACAAGTCATTCCTGCCCGTACTTTCCGTCCCACCTAAGTATAAAATTGAGAGTAACATCCTGTCATTACTTTCAATTGTATATAACTTTTGAAATAGTAGTCAATAATTGTTATCGACCCGTCATTTTCTTAATTACATTATTTACTATTTATAATAGTTAATTCAAGAAAATAAGTAATTGAAATCTGATTTGAAAATTTAAAATTTCAAAGTTTGCTTAATAACAAACAAATTAAACGGACCATGATTAACTTTATACTGTCTAATTATGTTGTGAATTCATATTTTTGAGATACTTTCATAATTAAAAATTACAGTGGCACTGTTGATTTTAACTAGTATATTATAATATACTGATATAAATAAAAACATTTTTTTATTTATTCATTAGGAAGAGCCTTTTATTATGTTGAAAAAATCAGGAGAAGCTGTTAATGGAAACGATCAATTTGAAGGATATTGTAAAGATTTGGTATCACTTTTATCAGAGAAAATTGGAATTAAATGTAAGTAAAATAAACAAAAAATGTTACTAACATTAAAGAAAAAATTTCATAACTTATTAATTATGTAAAATCTAGTTTTTAAATTATAAAATCAAAGTAAATAAATTGACCGTTAAATAATAAATAAATGTTTAAAACTAAGTAGCAATTTGTCAGTTATCAAATATATTTCGTATTAATGATAGAATTAGTAAAAAATATTTATACTATTTGAATCTATAGAAAATGTACATAAAAGTTCATGTAGTGACCTTTCTTTTTGAGATTTTCGTAAAAAATATTTTAGTACAGTTAATTTTTTCATTTTAAAAAAATTTTGACGAAAACCTATAAAAACTTCAAGTTTTGAATTATGTATTTTGAATTATAATATATATTTAACATTTTCTTAATTTGTTTTTTTTTAATTTCCTTGTAATATTATAATATATTTGTATTATTTAAAACTTTACGAAAAGTACTGTTCTAAAGAGTACCACATATCTATCTGATACAGTCTCTGTAAGTTAATGATTAAGTTATTCTCCTATTATTTTCTATTTTAGCTTTTATTATAATGCATTGATTTTTCAATTTAAATTAATAGCTTTTTGTTACCTGGTACAAACTATTCAATCACGATGTATTATCTTATCTATCTTTTGCAGTTTCATTTCATTAAATTATAGAATTATAGTCTTTGTTTCAAATGTTTATTTTCATATAACTTTTAAATGGAATAAGATCTCATTAGGGATAACGAGATCGTTTTTTAATGGAATATTTTTTTAATATGATAAAAAAGTGTAACAGTAATAATAATTATTATAGTGTTAATTGTTAATACATAGTCTTTGAGATTATTTTATTTAGACATCAAGTAGTTTTTGATATAATTATAAAAAATTGTTTATCATTTGTAAATCAATAAAGTTCGATACAAAAATTATAATATAATGTTAATCACATTCAAAGTAGCTTCTTTCGCTTACTACATAACATTGCATAAAAAATTATTGAAAACCTTTGATACATACATATATCGAGGGGACCAGATCTAACTAACTTTTATAATTTATGCGCCTGAATAACTATCAAATATAAAATTGATCACTTCCAAATTAAATAAATCACCTTGAACACATATATGTATATAGAATCATCAGTAAGTAAGGAAACGGGTATTATTGTTCTCATTGTTTGTAACAATTGACCTGTGTCTTACTTACTGAACACTCTGTATTTAAATCACAGCTTTTTCAAAATACTGATGCCAATAACTTTTAATAAGATTTTTAGAAGAATTAATTATTTAATTTTTATGTCATAAATCCTTTAATTTTGGACATTTTTCAATAAACCTTATAAAAAATAACTTTTCAATAAACTTATTATTTTGTAATAGTTTGAAAATATAAAGAGTAAATCTAATATGTAGTAGAGGTATGGAGGTATAGACATACTTTTTGGTTAAAAATTATTAAAATTTTGATTTACATATACATTTTTAGAAACTGCTTCTACACTAACTTTTTATTTAATTTCGTACCAAAATGTTTAACAAATTTTTTAATTATGAATCTAATAATTAAATCTGAAATTCTTTAATATAATATTTTGTAAAGGTTTTAATAATAAAATGTTGATTCTAAAATATCTCTAATAAAATGAAGGCAATTAATATTGTTAGTTAAATTAAAAATATTGAATTTGGTTGTATAATATAAGTAAACATTATTAGATATATAATAGTTACTTCTTGAAAAACATTCAACAAAATTGTCATTAAGTTACAAGATGGCCAATGTAGAATTCAGAGAAATTTAGTGAAAAAAATCTATGCTTACATCATTAATCTTTTAAAATAAAAGAAGAGGGCTGTTTATAAAACAATTCAAGAGTCGACTGGATATTTCAGTTAAAACTAATACAATTAACTTGGTTATTGTGGTCCATTTATATTTTTAAGAATTTCACTGAATTTTTTATTCGAATCTTACATCATTTATTCATTATATGTAGTAAGTGAATTAAACTTCACATAATATGTGGCCCCGAATTTTACCAACAAATCTCACATATATATTTAAATATCCTTGTAAAATTTAGTAACAATAATAGATATCTTTGTGAAAGTTGGTTGTGTGATAAGGTTAANGAATTTCACTGAATTTTTTATTCGAATCTTACATCATTTATTCATTATATGTAGTAAGTGAATTAAACTTCACATAATATGTGGCCCCGAATTTTACCAACAAATCTCACATATATATTTAAATATCCTTGTAAAATTAGGAACAATAATAGATATCTTTGTGAAAGTTGGTTGTGTGATAAGGTTGAGCAATTTTTTATTAAGTTTAATGAACATACTATTTTATTGTAAATAAATTGTTATCATTCATAATAAATTATATTTAAGTGGTATTTATATACAAATACAATATTGTAATATCTACCATTAAAAGTAATAATTAATGTAATAATTATAGTTATTATGAATAATTTCCCCTTAAATATTAAATATTTTGTCTACTTGCAAATTATTTTTGTTTTCAATACAATACATATACTTAATTATTACTTAATGAATCTATTTTCAACCATTAATAGGCCTTTAGAATCAATGTATTTATGATTGCCTTAATTTTATTTTAAAAAAATTCTCAATTTAGGCTGAACTATTATAAAAAAATTGTAGAATGTGAGAAAACATTAACTTGGTAAAATTGAGAAAAGATAAAAAGAACAAATGTACTTAAAACTTCTGTTTTGATAATTAAGTATTAATGCATATACAAAAAAAATATTCGTAATATTCAAAGTTTGAGTAATTTTAAGGTTTAAATTAAAGCTATACCTCAATTAATTTATTAACATTATTTTTATTTTATTACAGATGAATTCCGATTAGTAAAAGATGGCAAGTATGGTATAGAAAATCATGACATGAAAGGTGGTTGGGATGGTATGATTGGCGAAATTATAAGAAAGGTAAATTATATTAATTAATATTTTACCTTATATATATATATTAATTAATATATCGGGAACTATGAACCTAGTTTCTTTTTACGTCTAGTAGTATACTAGACATATTATATACATTCTAGTATAGATATATTATGTACATGTCTTTGATTACATGTCATCAAAGACTTTTAAAAATAATACCATTTATATGTGCGTCATTGGAAGAAAAGTAATTATAAAAGCTATTCATTATTTTAGAAACCAACTAATAAACTATTATTCGATGAATGTATAATAATTTCTCAAAAACGAACAATTATAATTATAGTCGTTAGGAATGAAGTACTTCAGTATTCATATTGTTGAATAAATTTAATTTTTTTATTGTCACGTTTGAATTCCTATTCACTTTACATTCTCTAATGAGCTCACAATCAAACAAAAATTCAAATTTTCCTTTAACATAAAAATATGTATTGAGTAGAATAAACTTATTCACATCATTACAGAATAACTGTTAAAAATTTGATGTACCTCAACAAAACTGGGGTTATCTCTGCGTGTGCTCCAATGTATGTTTTTATTGTAAAAATAAAATTCTAATTAGTGTAATTGGTTTTACAGGAAGCTGATTTGGCAATAGCTCCTTTAACTATCACTTCAGAACGGGAGAAAGTGGTTGAATTCAGTAAACCGTTTATGTTATCGGCGGTGAACATAATGATTAAAAAGCCAGTCAAACACAAGTCAGCAGCATTTAGCTTTTTGTCTCCTCTATCGCGGGAAGTTTGGATAAGCGTTGGATTCGCTTATGTAGCAGTGGTGATTGTTATGTATGTGGTATCGCGGTTTTCTGCTCACGCTTCGGCAAGCGTACACGTCAGACCGGTGCACACCACTTATGGTATTAGTGGGAGTAGCAATGGAGGCCATGAACTTCAACAAACCATTCCACCCCCTCCTCGGTTCGTCCATAACCCGTTCACTTTGGCCAACAGTATGTGGTTTGCCATAGCAGCTATTACCCAACAAGCCTGTGACATTGCGCCAAGGTAAAATTAGTCTATTCTAATCACTCGAAATAATCAAATGAATTATAGTTATAAACAGAGTTACCCCGAAGCAAAAAATTTAGGAAATTGAAAAAATTATTTTTACCGACTGAGTATTTTTTTTTTTTTTGTGGCAACCTTAAGTGTTAAGAAATTATCGACTAGAATAATATGATATTGATTAGTGTGGAGTGTGACACTCCCAGGTCATTCATTGAGACGGTTCTGTTTACAATGATTAATTAATTTATTAACTACTAAAATATAATAAGTGTTTTTGATATCATCATCATCATCATCTGTTAAAGGCAATGCCTTGTCGTTGAAGCCACTCCTCTCTGATTGACGCCAAATTCTTCTGTGAAATTCGATATAATTTTTTTATTAAATTGATAAATTGTTGATATAATATGTTATATTTTTAGGCAGTTACTCTGTATAACTTGAGCAATATATTGCTGAATATTAATTTTTTGTAACGTTAACAAGTTAGGTAGTTGTTTTAAGAATACAAAAGGAGATAAAATAAAATGCAATTAAAATTCGTTGGTGATAAAAATACTAGATATACGCCTAGCGCTTTACGGTTTAGAGGTTTGGTTAAGCTTTTGATTAAAAACGTCAAATGTAATACGATATTGCAAGCGAAATGCGGTTAAGTTTACCGTGTCGTTTCTCTCTTTAAAGCATTGTCTTTTTGTTTAGTATTTTTTGGACATTTATAATGTCACGATGTAAAAACAAAAAGTTGATATTTCACTCTGAACAATATTCAGTTAATTGGTCAGGTGACACGCGAGACAGATAAAGACATCATTGTGAAAGCAAAACAAAGTATCCTGAAAACAATTCCGCGGATCCATTAAAATTACATTATTTTTACAACGTCTCGGTCTCTTTGAAACGTAGGCAGCGTATAACGAAATTTCACATTGCATTGTACGTGTGATTTTGCACTAGTCCAACTTTAAGGGTATCGTATTGGCCTGGTTCACGTAAGGTGCGTATAATAAATTATCTGACCTTCCAACAGTATGTTGTGCGTACATTTTCATGAAAACCGCAACGGGACCAGAGATATACTAAACCTGCCGGACAGCCGAATCCACACGAACCGAGTGCTAACATAGTTTACATGTTAATTTATGAAGCGCTGTTGAGACAGAAGAACGAATAGCACTCGGACCGGAACAGTCGTAAAATTCATTGAAATCCCCTTGCCCAGCCCAGTGGAAATTTCGAAGTCGTTGGCCACACGGAATAGAAATATTAGTCTTCTTGTCCCCTGAACATACACCGTAACTATACCGGCTAGCGGACCATATGTAGCGCAACTTTTACAATCACAACATTCTCTATCTCAATATTAATATTGTTTTTAGGAGTAAAGTTTTTATGCTCGCAAGCGACTCCGTTTAAAAACCAATTAAGATTTAGAAATATTTTTTATTAGTCGGCATACCGGTTGTTATATGGAGGATGTTTTGCATTACAGCATATTTGCGTTATAGTTTTGATTTGTTATAGAAAACATCAAGTATGGAGGCCCTGAACACGGCGATTTCAAGTAGTTGACTAGAATGAATAATGTAGTGTATTATTCATTATAACGATTTCAGACGTCAAAAAGACCAAAGTCGTATTATACTCGACTAAAATACGATGAAGATGCAACTTTGCCAATTTAGTTGTCTAAAAATGTAACATTAGTGTTTACTTAACCGCTTGAAAACATTAATATAATGTTTTGACATATTCGGCGGAGTGTATTATATTATCATGAAAAATACTTTACCATACGTACCGCATAACGATAACTCTATGATTTACGCACGTTCCAAGTGTAGTAGTTTTGGAGGTCTCTAGTTTGCACTTTTCAAAAGTTTTATAGCTCAAGTTTTTTACATGTCGTATAACCAGGAACTCTGTCATGTATTATCCCAACAGTCGTTGAAAACTATTTCCATTTCGGAATGTCGAGTAAGAGATCTAAACGTTTTATTTAACATTTTAGAAATTACATTTGCAGCGTTCAACTTGGCAAACATTTGTGTGTACTAGAAATTCGATTAGGACTATGACCGTTAAGTACGTTAATTATTATTTATTTGAGAAGTATCCTATGAACTTTAAATTACTCGTACAAAGTTTTTTTATGTACTATACAAATGTTTAAATACAAAATTTACATTTATTGAAAATAGTTTTTGCCGCAAAAATAAGAAATATTAGTAAAAAAAAAATTTTCTTATCAATGTACATAAATAGATTCAAGTTAAACTAAAAAACAATTATTTTTTTTTTTCATACAGAACTACACCGGGCCGAATAGTCGGAGCGTTTTGGTGGTTTTTCACGGTCGTGTTGATATCATCATACGTATCCAACTTTACTGCATACTTAATTGTACAAAAAATGGCGACTCCAATTAGTTCACCTGAAGATTTAGTATCACAGACTGACGTCGAGTATGGTGTTCTATCTCATGGGTCTACCCGAGATTTATTTAAAGTAAGCAATGTTGTAAAAATTCGTTTTTATACATTATTTACATAAAGTTATTATTTAGTTAAAGTTTATAAGGTGAGTACTTTTATTACTTTGCCTGCTAAATTAGTAGAAAATTATTTATTCATGAAGTTGTTAAACAAAAATTTTAATTTCTCGTCATAAATATCCTATTTAAAATTTTATGTTATGAAACTTGTTAAAAATACTCATATTAATAAACTTTTTTTTATCCGTGCTGTTCAACGATGAGATATTATTATAATTTTTTCGCAAAACATTATACCAGCCTACTAGATACGACTGGTGCCGACGTTTGAAATTGCTCTTGATACTTGATTGGGTTTCTTAATAACTTGTTCACCCAGCGATTTCTACTCAAAACGTCAACACCAAACAAACCAACGTAGAAATAAATTATTCGCCGATATCATTTTATAATTTTTTTTTGTATGGTGCCAATTGACTGTTTTCCAACCGTAACGGCCTAAAGGTGACCCCCAGGAAGTGAATAAAAAATACACCTGTATTCATACATACACAAAAAAGTGGTAATATAGACTTTTCCTATAACGAGTATAGCTTTCGAGTTCTATCGACTGTAAACCTCTAGTGGTAATGTTTTTTTTAATGGTCGAGAGTAGAAGAAAAACTTTTCGTTTCGGCCCATTCGCCATAGTACAGTCATTCCTTAACCACTTTTATTCAACATAAAATAAAAAACAAAATTTTCTACAGAGTAGAAGAAAAGAAAAATACCAGTAAGAAGAATATAATCGATTTATCCTCAGCCACTCAACGAGTGATTCGAACTATTTGTTCAAGTGGTCTTTTGCAACATTAGCTTAAAAGGAAAATCTCAATTCTTATTTATTTATTTTATTACGTAAAAAAACGGTGTTATTTTATGTATTCATCATACAATCAACTCATCTGTATAACTGGAATAACGCGCTTCAAAATTAATTGAGTTCATTTTTTAAAGTTTAACTTAATATTTTTTTGTCATATAATAAAATAACTTTTTAAATTACTTTGTTTGAGTGTCCTAGTCTTCTAAAGAATGTTTAAATTACAATAATTTATACGATCAAACGTATACAGCCAACTCGTATTGTAACTATTTATTTTATTTTAGAAAAATCCCTAAAAATGTTTTAAATAATTCCAAGTTGCGCGATTAAAATATTATTTGACAGATGATTGCCAATTCACAAAGTATATTACTTAAATGATTATATTATTTATATTAAGAAAATTGTTTAGTTTAACTAGTAGTAAGTCATTATAAACATTTTTAATGAAAATTCATCGGTATTTCAGAGGTCTCAGAGTACGTTGTACAGCAAAATGTGGCAGTTTATGAGCACTAGGTCACATGTGTTCTTAGACTCATACGAACAAGGTATCCGAAGGGTACGAAGCTCAAACGGCAAATTTGCCATGCTCATCGAGTCGCCTAAGAATAATTACGTGAACCAGAGAAAACCGTGTGACACGATGAAAATTGGTCGCAACATGGACGTCAAGGCATATGGTATCGCTATGCCGTTAGGATCTCCATTGAGGTAAAATCCTAAAATAATTCTTACGAATACAAACATAATTATGTTCAAGCGTATCTTCTGCACATGAAGTTCTTATACGCATGGACTTATGAATTTATACGTTTTACATAAAATATGTACCATCGTGGTCTATTGGCAAATCTCGTTTGGGGCATTTGGGAAATAAGATCACCGACATTCCGACACGGGAATATATGTGTATCGAGCTTGTAGAGTTTTCGTGGTTAGATAGCAAGAAGAGGGAAATCAGAGTAAGAAGAGAGACCTAGAAAGAATATTGCTTGCGTCTTTCGGTTGAATGACTTCCTCGGATTACACTCCGCAAAATCACATTTCCAAGACCGGGACTGATATGAAAAAAAAAAAAAAGAAAAGGAAACTCAATTCTCAGCGTGACACATTTTTGAACATAAAAAATATATCTATACATACACGTCTCGGAAATAATATTTGTAATAACCACTGGTTAACTGACATGATTTTTACCAGTCAATTTTCCTTTCATACGCAAGGCATTTTCAAAGGTTTGCTCGTAGAAAATGTAATTTAGACTCTTTGTGCTGTCGAAATACAATTATAATTGATTAAATCTATGAGTATAGCAGAGAAAATATTATAGGCTTGCCATAAGCTTGTTAGTATAATTCAATACAAAAAACTTTCTTTTTTATTATACAATTTTCTAAATTTTTGTTTTGCTTGGTGAACATGCAATTGTTTTTAATGTAAATATATCTTATTATAAACTACTTATTTGATGATTAGGAATAAAAAATATCAATTTTGTAAGTAAATATTGAATTTGCAAGCTCGGAACATAATGATCTGTAACTAACAAGTTTCACTAACAGCCGCCAATTTTTCAAAATCATCTTGATAATGGATTAGATTTATCCATTCTCAGTTAAACATTAATCTTGCGAAGACAAATAAAACACTATGTTGATCATTGTTGTTAACAAAAGTAACTTTCATTTTCCTTATTGAAATATTTAAACCTTCTACAATTTCATTAAATATGTTATGGTTCTCACTTATCACTAACCGTTAATACCGTTTATGTAGTATAAGAATAGGATTTATAAGAAAAATAACTATATTTTAATAAAAAAAATAGTATACCATATATTTTTGACACTTGTCCATCAGAATTTTCATGTGTCAAATTTTCCATTAAAAAAATACCTTGTAATACATTTTATCTACTAGTTTGTATAATTAGAAACATAATAATAAAATACAAACATGTATTTTATTTATTCTTTTGGATAATCTTCATAATCTTCTTTTGAAAATGACTAATAATTTTTCTATAGCACAAGAATTCACTATATCAATGCGATTATTGAAATCAAATTAAGTTAACTAAATAATTTTAAAGGATTAAAAATCCTTAGTTGTACGATTAATCATATATAGAACAGAATATATATAAAGTAGTCTGGAATTATAAACATGAATTCGAATGCAGTGTGAGTTTACAAAACAGAAATAAGCAAAACTATCCTGTTTATGTCTTTTATAAAGTCATTTGGATTTACGCCAACCAATCGACAAGCATTCCGAAATCCGGGGTCATTATATAATATTTAAATCTAATTAAATTGTATTTGAACTCTTTTCAAAGTTTAATTCTAATTATTTTACAGATTTTGATTAATAAAAAATTAAGATATAAACTGGAAATTCGAGAATCCTGGGAGTATTTATAATAGACTAAAGCTTTTTGCCATAATAAATATAAAGAAAAAATTGTTCACATATTAAATGAATTCTCATATTTATAGCCATTGTAAATAAAAAGATTTTTTGTTACGCTCCATTTATGAAAGAATCCCTTCTTTTGTTCAACTGAACTTTATGAATTATACAGCACTATGAATTTAAAGTTATTTCTCAATTAAAATTATTTTGCAAAATGTCTAATATATGTTTTAGTTTATTTTATTGTATACTGATTTGTCGAACAACATTTTAAAAAAATTCCCAGTTTAATAATACTTGTATTAAAAGTTATAAGTGTTGTCAATTAAATTTATAACACCTTGTATGCATGTTTTAGCTCTAATAAAACATTGCAATAAACTTAAATTCAAACAGTTTATTTAAATTTTCGATTTTCAGTTTGAATCTAAGTGCAAAAATTTGGCTTTCAAGATGAAATAATTTACGATGAGGATTACAAAGACATATTAATTTATTATAATATTACGTCTATAGAGAATTAATATCTCCAGCAACCTAATTTTTAACCGTTATTAGTCTGTACAAAAATCTTTATAATAATGTTTAATACTTACGGGGGCGATTTCATAGGAAGTGTGGGGCTGTCACATCCCTATACTTTTAATGAAGTCATTCGTGGTTGGGATTTTTTAAAGTATATTTTTTACTCGTTTAGGTAGTTTAGTCAGAGAATTTATCACCAACAATTGGCACTTCTATCCTCGTAAAAATTATTTTTAGGATTGCTCTTGACTACTTATACAAAAAAGTTAATTGATTTGTTAAATAAATCTATTTTTAAGTATAACATAATAAAATTGGTGTTGTTTAAAATATTATTTCTAGTAACTATTAAGATGTAATCACAGAAATGAATTTCTCTTTTGAAAGGATATTGATAATAGTGCACACAAAATAACTAAAAGTTTGAGTTGTCGTAAATATTATTCTGAGTGTTAAAATTTAAATGTTGGTGGTAACTTATAAACTTTAATAAAATTATTCTAAAAAATGTATACGATTGAAAAATGAGCGTTTCATGCCACCAGATTTAAAAATAAATTAACGTGAACTCAAAGTAATAAGTTTGGACTGTGATAAAAATTTATTACATTTAATATTTAAAAATATAATCTATGGGAAAGTGTGATGAATGTTATTTAATGTCCATAAATTACCTACCGTACAAGCGCAAATCCAATACGTTATATTATCCTGAAATACGGCTAATTATATCAATTTGCGTGTAATATTTAATTATTTCCCTCCAATTATGCGCATGTTTTATGATTATTTATTGCTTTCATGAAGCTCACTCTGACGCTCTTACTTGACATTTTAGAATTTTCAAAATTAGTTGCAATATATTATAAATTTACAAGTCACGTAACATGTAATATAAATTTAGAATTTTACATTCCACGTTTTAAATTGATATAGTTGTTAAATAATAGCAGCAAAATATAATTTCATTGAATCATCTCATATTTCTAACACGAGCAATTATATAAGAAAATGCTACACATAATTATTATGACGTGTAGCTTAAGCTTAAAATTTTAAATTAAAACTTAATGAGAGATCAGTTTAAATAAACGGTGTTAGTTTATTAATGATGACCAAAATTGTTCTACATTACTTATTCATAATATAATGAAAAACATAATATAAAATTAATTATTTTGAAAAACATTTTGTATAAAGTAATTTTTCATTCGAGTCGTCATATACACAAAACATTATTAGGTGTAAAGCTAACTACTTAAGTGACACTTGATATTTTAGTAAAAATTAATATAATATCGGATTTAAGATGTTAATTTATTTATTTATGTTCACAAAAACAACAAAATCGAATGGGTAAATACAGAGAGAAACAAATATGACTAACAATTTTTGAATTTGTAGACAATGTTAAAGTATATTTTTATTGTTTATTTTTTATATAAGAAAAAAATAAAAATAATTTTTTTTTTAATCATATAACATTTTAGAGCTATGTTAGAGTATTTCTTATTAAAATTTAAATAAGTCAATAACAATTTTAGAACGAGTAATTATTAAGTTATAAGCATTTTAATACATAGAGTGGGTATTTAGCACTGGTGGGTGGTACTGTTGGTACTGGTGTATATTTATAATACATACATTACACCCACTGTATTAAAATGCTTGTAATTCAATTAAAATTTGTCTAAAAATTGTTATTGACCTGTTATTAATTTTAGTAAGAAAAGTATTGAAAAATGGCTATTATAAAATTACAAAATAATTTTTAATTAAGAAAAATGTTTTGTTTATTTTTTTACATAAAAACAAATAATAATAATAAAGTTGATTGTATAAAATTTATTGGAGTTGTCAGTTATATCTATTTTATTCTCTGAATATGCACATGGAGAGAAACTCAAGAAACGCATAGTTAAATTAACCAGTTTTACATGGAAAAAGTTATCCTTCTATGTAAACTTTTTTCATTTTACTAATTTTCTAATAAAACATGTTAGTGAGCTTTTTGTGAAACATAACAAAATATAAAAAATGATTATAACATTATTTTATGAACTGATATGAACTACCTTTTGTAGTTTATGTTCAATTTTTCCATTAATTTTAATGGGTTTCATTGTGAAAAATATTCTGTGTACAAGTACCGCCCGTTTAGAGTTCTGTTGCTATAGTCAATTTATAATGGTAACAACAACGTCCCCGAGGGCCATCGAAAAATGTTTTTGAGCCAAAAATGGGAAAACCAATAAAAGAGAGACTGAGCGATTTACAGTTTGATCTATACGGTTGTTCTGCCATTAATTTTATCTCCGCCCAATTGGTTATTCTCGGGAGTCCATTCTAACAAGAACGATACGAATTCATAGATAGGTTTTTACGTTTACCTTTTTTATTTTTTTATTTACTCTCAATAAGTTCCTATAAAAGCATTTCAATTGATTAAAAACAATAGGTGATGTTTGACATGTGCACATATCAATTGCTTTTTATGAAATATGAAGGTCTTCTTTGTTTTTACCCATTTATATTTGTTTTTATGCAGTATATTTAATTACCCTTCAATTTATTGTAGAACTGGTCTATAGGTTATGAATTTTATTGATAAAAGTTTAATAGTAATGTAAATTTTATCTATTACAATAGAGTTTTGTATCTATCAGTGAAAAAATGGCTATATTTACTCTTATCTTATAGCAAAGCCTTTATTTTATAAAATATTTAATTTCTAGTGCAAAAAATTGAAGCCTAAGCATAGTAAACAAAGAAACTAAAATTAAATCTAGTTAATCTAGATATTTATAATTAAAGCGAAGAGACAAAATTTATTCATTCATTCGTTGATGAAAAATTAATTTAATATTACTATTTTTCGTGTAAAAAGTATAAATTTTCCAATTGTTTCAATAAAAATTTTATTTAAAAATATTTTTTCAGAAATCGAATAAATACTGCTATTACCCAAATGACTGAAAACGGAGAGCTACTAAAACTAGAGAATAAATGGTGGGATGATAGAGATGAATGTAGTCATGAAGCAAAAGTAAGTAAAAATTGTAAAATAATTGAAGAGTAACTACATTGTACTTTTTCTTTAAATCCAATTAATATTAATTAATTTTGGGGCTAATGGAGAAAATTCATTGGCCCTAATTTCCTATTATTTTTTAATGTTTGTCACTATTAAATTAATTATTCAATTTTAAAGAAAAAAAACTCATTTCCTTTTTTATTGTTTAAAGATATTTTCATCGAGTAAATGTTGGTTTAAATTGTCCGTACCAGCATCGTTTTATTTGTAATTTTATGATATCCATAACTTTTTTTGACACACATTCCATTTCACAGATATTTAATTAGCTCTTCAGAATTTTATAATAGTTATGTTTTTTTTTTTTTACAAATTTAATAGATATTGTTTGAAGACGATATATTTTTAGTTAATTGTGTCAAAAATAGTAAAATATTGACGTTTTAAAATGCCATAATAGAGTCCACAAAAAACTTGAAAAAGTGGTTTTGTTTAGATTTATATATTTTTTATTTTGCACTTGCTACCAGTACGCGACAATAAAGTTTTCTTCATCCCGACCTGTACATGCATCATAAAACACGAAATATAGTCGAATTTTATTAAAAAGTTGAAATTTAGTATAGTTCCACCACATTATAATGGCGCACATCTTAATTCCCACAGGAGTCCTTCCGCAGTGCCGAACTAACATTAAACAACATCGCTGGTGTATTTTACATATTGGTGTTGGGACTTATCGTTGCTATTGCAGTGGCATTGTTCCAGTTTTGCTATCGTATGCACTCGGATCAAGCAAACTCTAAGGTAATTACAATTATTTTACGTGATTTAAATTATATTACTTTTTTTGTCATTTTGTTTTCTCAACTTAATATTTCAAGTAAAACTTCTCAACAATGTAATTTTTGTGTTATAAACGAACTTGATTCGAAGTATTTCAAGAGTAGTTCGTTTATGTTTAATTAGGGTAGTTTTAAATGGATTATTTTTAATTTACTTGGAAAGCTTTTTGAGAGTTAGACGTTTAAGTTCGTAATATTTTTATTAAATGAAAAAAATTATTATAAAGAAAACTAAATTGGTATTTTTATAGATAGACATTTTAGAGTTATAAAAAGTGTAACATTAAAAAGGATTATTTTATGATTAAATCGCGATTTATGGATAGAAACCTTATTTTGAATATGCACAAGCTATACTACTTTTTTTTAAATTTAAATACGAATTTTGAGTCGTAGATAAATAATACTAACTCAGTAGAGTATAAACGAATAATAATTAAGTAGAAAAATCAAACATTTTCTAATGGATATAAATATGATTTTTTTCGTGATAAAAATACCATTTTACGTATAATGTTATGTATCATTCATTCATAATTATAGAATAAAAAATACAAATTTAAACAATTTTAATCGCATAACTTTTTTGTTTGAATTTTGACTATTACGGCCAAACAAAAATCAAATTAAGCGCTTGAAATTAAAAATACTTTAATAACTGTCACACATCCAACGAATTACATGGTTTAGTAATTAAGAAGCTTAAGCGCTAAAAAGTTCATAACAGCTTTAGGCGCTAATCGTTTTAAAACTTTACATTATTAAAACGAACATGCTAAAAATTTACAAGTGTTGCAAACCTGTCAAAAGTTTTAGGTTGTTACGAATTATAATGTTTTTAAATGTAATAATTTTTATAAAAACTATTCTTTGAGAATATTGTGGGCGTTCACTTTTCAATTTCAGTGATTGAATTTTAGATTTCATTACATATTCTAAGTAATTACCAACAAAATTGTTTGATGTATTTTATTTTGGTGTAGTTCTCTGTTATTATCGTCTAAAATATATTTTTTTTAAATAAAAATAACAAATTTTGTTGTCAAAAAAACTAGAAATGTCTGCGTTTTGAATATTTTACAAAAAATGATAATTCAATTTAGTGAATTAGAATTTGGGTTTAAATGATTGTAAACTATTGTACCATGTGTCATCTAACAACTATAATCAACAAAGTGTTACAGTGACAGTAACTAATTTATTTTATATTATGGAATGACACAATATATTAACGTCACCTGCAAGTTATTGCACTTACCATAATAAGAAAAAGTTAAGGAACGAAAGACCTGTGTCGTATTTTAGTGACGAAGAAAATAATAATATGTCAACGTTTCAGGTGATTTAAATTTAAAAATTTATTTCAAGTATAAACGTGAAATTTCAAGTTTGTTGTAGAATAATGTAAGATCACATTAAATAAAATCATACAACGTATTTATAACTCCATTCGTTTTATACGAGTATATCAATTAGTTAATAAAAAACAATTAACTTTTGAAATGCCGTTTCAATTATTTTATAGATCATTAAACAAAATTAAACAATGACCCAATTTAATAAACATTAAACAAATAACTATAATGAATATTAATAATACAACTAATGGCTTTTGCGATTTACTAGTATATTTTTTGTGTTCAATGATATTATATTTTTTTGGTAAAAATGTGCATTATAGAATGTTTTTTAATAATTTATTGCTTCATCATTTTACCTTGTGTGTGTGTGTGCTTTCCGTTATCTCTTCAGAATAGGTTTTCAGTGTATTCTTCTTAGTTTTAAATACCAAAACCTTCGTATATGTGTGTGTGTGTGTGTGTGTGTGTGTGTTCTATAATGTCATAAAGCATACAACACAGTTCAATTATTTTCGATTGTAAAAAAAAGTTTTAAAGAAAAAGATAGACCGAATAAATCCCACTAGACTTACCGAAAGAAGCACAAAAAATCCCTGTTCTACTTAGGGACTATGGCTTATCAGTCATCAATACAAAACCAGAATCCAATTTTGTTGACAAATTTTTTCCGTCGATGTACTAGTTGATATTCCACTGAGACCGGCCAAAAAATATCTACTGAGTTAACAATACTTTGATGAATTTGGAATTCCACCATTACTTTTATAAAATTTTAAACTAGGAAAATGTTATAAGATTATTGTTTTTATGTAGCTATGAACATTTTCAATAGGTCATCAAATATTTTGATAAGACTATCGTTACATTAATGTTAGCGACGATACGAGCTCTGATTTTTGGGGTCGAACCGAACCCGAATTAATCATTTTATGGCAAAACATTTATCTATCACAATTCAACAAAATCAAAGAGATATTTGATTATACCAGTTTGATTTTTGTATCGGTTTACAAAAAATTTTCGGTTTGTTTTTTTCAATCGTAAGTTCGATTTTCAAACCGAAAGGAAAACGAGGGAGTTCGATTGGGTTTAATTCGAAAATCGAACAGTTCAAACTAAAGAATATGTTTAATTTACATGTCAGTTTTTTACTAGATAAAACTATTTATTTTCTAATTTTAAAAATGAATAATGATTACATCTATTATAACTGATAATTTATCAATGATTATCCTTAACTTTAATTATTTGTTTGCCTTTTTCACAACGATTTTCTTAAGTCTCACCAATATATTTTTAATAAAAATCATAATATGATGGTTATTGAAAAGACTTGAGAACAATCTTTAAAGAGTTTTTGTGTAGTATTATTTGTAAAGGTTAAGACGGTAAACAATTATTACGGTCTTTTGTGTTGATCTATACCATCTTACCAAAACCTCGGAATGACATGGTAGAAATATAAAGAGACCTATAGAAACGAACAAACATACACTGAAAACATCACGTATATGATTATCATTTATTGTTTACACAAAATACGACTTGGAATATAAAACACTGTGTGCAACTCTCTTGACTAATGTAGGTACTATTTGTTGTCAGACATTTATTTTTTAAAGTGAACCGAGATATTAGAAAAATTAGCATTATCCCTGTGATGTGCGTCAAATACGAACATATTTGCCGTCACCGTGTCAGAAAAATAGTTTTTTTTATTCGCAAGATTACACGCGTAAAAAATAAGGTACGAGGGTAATTTCTATCCTGAATTCGTCCTTTTTCAAACTTGCTATTTGATTTCCTATCTGACTCGCACAAAAATAACTATTTCACTTTATATTTATACACATAAGTGTGTTTTGGAGCACTACTAAGTTAAAGTGTCGTAAAGATAGATGTCAGAAATACTGAGAGTATTTTTTATACGCATTAAATTTCACACTATTAACACATTTTTTACTGTGCCAATTATTGCGACTCTAGAACTTAAAACGGCATTAGTGTTTATTATGTAAAATGATAAGTCAGGACACAGTCGTTTAACAAGTTTTCCAATTAGTTAAGTGCCGAATTAACGTCCAGGCCGTTAGGAAACTAGCGTATATATGTAGAATCTTACATTGTACAAACATTCCTCTTATCGGACTTGTTCTTTGTTTGACAATAATTGTTTTTCGTTAATAGTTTCAGTTGCCCGATGCAGTAAAAACCGTTGGCAAGTATAAGAATAACAGACACGACCCAGAGAATGGCGTCAGGGTAAGTTTATCGATCATTTATTATGGGAGTTAATGCCAAGACGTGGATGTACACCATTGTAGTAATGCATTTACCAAAAGAAATAACTGGGATATTAAATTGAAATGCCATAATTTAAGTTTTTAATTATTTATTTTTTAGGAAACGCCAGTTGATATGTGCAGAGTTATTGGCACGTAGAAAAATATAGCCGTTTGTCCAAAGTGCTTGTTAATACGTTCCACTACTGATGTCTTTTGGTAAGAAACAAATTCATATTTTCAAATTGGGAATCTAACAAAAGATTAACTGTTGCGTAAAGATGACAATAACATTTAACGCTTAAATTACTAAATTTCTAAAAGATTTAAGATGCTTAGATTTTAGCTTTTGATGTGTTTTTGCTCAATTTAACGTCAAAATAAGCTTAACCGTGTTTATTCTATAAAAATAACAACATTTTAAAAAGATACTCGGATATTTAACAGTACAATACTTCATAAAATGTTCTTTTTGCATTCTTTTGTTAATCAATGAACGTATTGTGAACAGCAAATTGTTTCCTAAAATGATATTTTTTTTCTTTAGATGTAACAGTTCTATGTTGAATCTTATGTGGAACATATATACATATTTGATAAAAAAAAAAACTCAACTCCTGAAAAGCATTTGTCACTTTCCAGGTAGCCCAAAGAGTTATAGTTTGTATTTTAAATATTCTCCATCGTATGTTGTACATATTTATACTTTTTGTTCTCTTTGTGTCATGTTCTAAAAATACACATGTACATTTGTTACTATCGGTTTAGTTACGTTCATTATTATTTTTATTTTTTGTATAGTATGTTCGTTATTGGATATTTTATAACATGAAAATTGTACATAATCTGTTTAACAAGCATGTAGTCAAATACGCAATGTTAAAACAATATCATCATCAGTCATTATCCTGTCTATATAAATGTCAAAATGTTTTATTGATTATTCATTAATTTTTAAAAGTTTTTGTTATAGAGTGACTGTAATATTTTATATCCCAGGGGAAATTGTAAATAAACGATTTTAGTTAATAAAATATAATTTTGTTACTAATGAAAATGTTACGTTTAATGATGAAAAATGTGCACTTATTGTATTATATTTAATTCAATAACAGTTTTGTGTTAAAGTTTGTTATTTAAATGACGGTAATAATAAGGAAATATTTATGATACAATAATTTTTATGTTGACGTTGTTTGTTTTACACGTTTATTTTGTATTGAAACGAATGATAAAGAAAGATGTGTTTTTTTGTAAACAATGGAAATAATTAAATTTATTAAAACTTGTAATACCGTTATAAATATAAGTGTATAATCATAACTATCAATACATCGTAATTCGTTTACTATTAAAAATAATTTAATAAAAATGGTTTTAATTTTACAAAACTTTTCGCCGCCATCTAACGTCCTGTTGTCTTAAACGTCATTAAGTGTTTGCTATACAATTACACCTGTTATTATTATTATCCCTTTTATTTTTTAAGCTTAAGCCAACAAGCGATTTCTGGTAAAAATGAAAACGACCGTTGACAGTAATTTAATTAAAACTATTTAAATTCTAAATTGCTGTTACCTGTCAAATAAATAAGTCATTGTATTTATAATTAATTATTTGGTTTGAAGTTTTGGGCTGTGTTAAAACTTTTCCTCGGTCGGAAATTTTAAATTATTGTTTTACCTAAAAAATCGTAAGCCAATAATCAAGTTAAATGTAACATTCCGTTGTATTGACGTTAAAATATAATATGTCAGTGGACGGAAAGTAATTTATTAAAACAAATTAAACGTTATCCTTTTGAAGTGTAGAACCATATTTTAATTAATGTTTAATTAACCCTTTCTACCCCCGAAAACTATTTGATAGTCCTCATAAACGATAAATTATTTAAGAATAATACAAGTCGACATTGTTCGACGAAAATATATGTGTTGAGTACACTTGCAAAAGTAGTCGGTAACATAGTAATGCTCAGTGAGTAGACCGTCAACATTTGAGTCAGTAAACTCGACTCGGATGCAAATGTTGAGGATTAACCACTTGAATACTTTTCGTTGGTTTATATTAATAGACGTGGACTAATTTACGTTCATCGACCGAGGTAAAGTCGCTTAGTCTTTACTAGACTAGGACCGAGTAGGTTCTTTCAACGCGTATTGAACAAAAGTTACACGGATAGATGTGCACGAAATCAGTTTCGGGCTTACCCGTGTACGTTTTATATCAGATAATATATGTTTTTGTATTACTGAGGCGCCGTGTGTGCCTTTGACAGTAATGTAGGCAAAGGAATGGGTCGGGTTAAAACTGATTGACGACGTATACGTAAAAGCCATGTCGCTTTGATGAGGTTTGCTGAATAAACCTAAACGTACCTCTGATGAAAAGCGCACAGTGTTCATTACGTGCGGATTATGATTAATTCGGGCGGACGTCTGTTCTACCACAGGCATTCAAAAATGTGCAATTAGTCGTTCAGCCAATTATTCTACGACGAATTTCGGTTTTGTTCGTGTGGTAATATTGCGAATAGAATGAAAAAAAAGGTGAAAAACAAGCGGTCGTCCTGTTCACCTCTGCCCGGCGTGTGGGTGTTGGTTAGGGTGTCCGACGTCACGTTGTCAAAAACACAATACGCTGAACTAGGCGGATCTGCATCGTATCCACCCGGTCAGATGTTTCTACGTTTCAATAGAACGGCATTAAATTTATGGCGTAAACGCGCGACAGACGTCGCAATTATTTTATAAAACCGTTGTAGGTGTACAGCCTGTTACGAACGCAATTATAATATGCTGCAGGTTCTGTGGACAATGAACGGTTGGCTCTGGTCCTCGGAACCAGAGCGTTTATTTGTCTTCCGATTGAGTGAATATTTCTTGTACAATACTTCCACTTGACTGGGGTGGACATCTAAAAAGTAATACTACGGAAAGCTAATATTTTTTGTCACTATATTTTTACAATGCTGATGATAAATCAGTTTGTCGTTTTTTTAACTGGATGGCTCTTAAATATTTCTCGTTTCGAGGCTATAGATAAACAGTTATTTACACTAAACGTATCACCGTAAAACTTAAAAATAAATAAATTATTCAGAATAACTTCACTTATACAGTCAAACGTTAAATCGAAATAATCAAACAAATAAAATATTACGAGAGTACGAATAATGTGTATGATGTATAATAATATGAATAGTGTTCATAAACAAAATTTTTTGCTAATGAACATTATTCATGAGTAAAGAGGACCCTAATGATTTATATAGTAGATAGGTTTATGTCGTTTAATTACTTTTGCGTCATACTACAACGTTAAAAAACTCAGATGCAATGGCGTAAACAGGGGTGTTTGTCATATCTCTCTCTTGAAGAGTAAAAATACGTGGTAAGGGCACAATTTTTTCCATTTATAGAATACAGTAAAACTTCTCCTGTGTATAACGACCCCTTGACAAAAACCCTAATTACGCTACCCTCTGAGGATAAATAATAAAAACAGAAACAGTGATCTCTCTGGCATTTATAAACGGTAAGTCCCCATCATTTGAATTAATACGCAAATCTTACACAAAGTGAGAGAATTCATGATGAATTTTTTAAAAACTACATTTTATTCTTAAAATTCCACTTGACATAATACGTCAAATCTTTTTGATGGACACCTACAAGATACCCAGTCAGAATAGTTAGTTGAGGTGTATCTAGATTCAGGAAACCAAATATAGGATATTATAGTCTACACTTTAGAACACAGAGTGCATAACGAAGTAATAATCTAAAAAATGTTATTTAATACAAACTTTATCGATTTTGTCTTTTGGAATGGCTCAAATTCAGGTAGGCGCGGTATTACTGTTAACGATACATACTACATCAAATTTATAATGATTTTTTTATTTGATCTGCGTTATCAAGATTTCATATTTCTAAAACAATTCATGACATAGAAATATTTAAGAAAATACACGAGTTTCAATAGCAAGTTGCTTTTTATCTTAAAATATAAATATAAATATTTATTATAATCTACTATTTTATTATTGCATGCATTAAAAATATACTGAAATCAACAAATAAAGAGTACACAAACGGAATATTTTTGATAAAAATGACGATAAACGATATAGTTTTACTTGATATTTATTATTGTCGAACTTAAATGAGTAAGCATTAAGGCTAACAAATTATAGTGCATCAATATAAGCTTATCAAAAATTCTAGTCTCTAGGGCATCCACTAGAGTTTATCAAATACTTCTTTTATGCGAATCTACGTATTGACAAGATAGAATCCAATTAAAATATTGAATTTCACGTTAATTTCTGTATGATATTAATGGTATCAATATTTATTGATTGTCAATACCTTTAAATAGGTATTCATAATTTGATGAAAACTTTTCCCACATGAATTTCATCGGAAAACACGATGGAAATTCGATCATTTTCAAACTACTGTGAGTGTAACTACTTATTGTAATTGAATTACTTTTCAACAGTTTTTATATCGATTACATCAAGACGACTATATTTATTAAGTTCCGATATCAGGTTGTGTTTAGACGACTTTTCAGATGAAAATTATAATTTTTAGTACTCGTGAGAACTTTATTCACTCATTTAGGGACTCACGAGAATCATCGATAGGTATTTTATTATCATTCCGATCGTCTTACTGATTAGTCCTGTCCACGAGCGTTCACATTATTCACTGGCGTCTAACGCGTCTGTGTTGTGTTAGCCACTTGAAAATCGCTAACGAGACGACACAGGACACCCCGAGACATCTGGACACATTTTTGCATACATTAAATCTTATGAATTCCTGATACAAGATTTGATGTTTGTAATAAATGCGTAATTTTTTTTCCAAAGGTTTCTTATACAAGAGTCTAAAAAAGCGGATACGGTTTGATGTCCTGCAATGTAATTTATTATGTGTTATATGTACATTGTAAAACCATTCCACATTTTACATTGTAGAAAATAGTTTTATTTATCAGACATTTATTGGGATAAACTTTTTCGAGGGCCGTAAGCATATTGTTTGTAGATAAATCTGAACTGTGTAAAAGGTATACGGCAAAATAAGTTTAAGAGCAAGGCAAATTGAATATCACACAATACTGATCGGACTATTAAAAGATTCATTATATTTCACTAAACATGTTTAACTCATACATATGACCAGTTATTTTTTATATAGAGTGTCCGGTAAAGTAACGAAACGGGTTTCTATTGTTCTTATTGTTTGTAACAATTGGTATGTTTTCTTACTTTTTAAACATTCTGTATAGTGTTATTTGTAAAATCGAATATTTTACTCTATACCTCCTACGTGATCCTTTCACGGAAATCACAAGTTCTACTATTTTATTATTATTTAATCCAACAGTAATTATTTGTAGGAATTCAATTTAATTATTGTTGTAATAACGAAAAAATATTTTGAACATTTGTATTTATAGTCTACATTTTTACTATATGATTATATTGTTTCAAATCGAAGTCTTTAATAGGAGAAAGTGTTGTACTTTGGTACCATTTTTGTTAAATCTCACACAATAACTTCAATTTTTAAAATTCCAAATTCCTTTAAAAAACAATAATTTAGGAAATACATATTGGTTCATTTTAATCAATCCTATAATACTATAATTAAATTTCTTTGAACTATAGATTCGAGGGTGTGTCGAAGATAAATGTATTTATCTGTTTTCATTTCGTTTTTTCACATGAAGTTGGTTTTTTAAAGTTTAAAAGAAAATTTATATTATTTTATTTTGTTAAATAATGATTTTTTTTTTTTTTCATAAAAATGTATAGATCAAAGTTTGATTCATTTTTATGAATTATAGTAAATATCAAATGTATTGTAAAATAAAATTACTTATTATAGCTGAGTGAAGTGTGCAACGTACAAGAATTGTTACCTGCGTGTAGTACTAAAAATATACCGTCGCTAAACACTATTCGCCTTTTCTAAATTTTCAAAAAGTTATATCTTAAAAAGTAATTATACGAAAATGATTATGAACTCGTCACAATTTTATTTAGACTATTCCTCATTTATTAGTAATAAAATAATAATAGGTTCCCATTTAACTATGGACGGTTACCCCTAAGAGCTACCCAGAGAAATAAACATCTTCTTAATAAAAACTTAATATTTTCAAAGTTTATAAAAACAAATATTAATTTTAACTATTTTCTGAAAAATCATAATTCAACAAAAAATTGGAGTTACTATAATTATTAATTATAATAATATATAAAGAAGTCT